CTTGCGTGAGGCAAGACTGTAACCTGACTTCATTGGATCAATCATACGCTTTACATGGCTTGCATGTGGTGATTTTTTTTACTTGCTTGACTTGCTTGTATTACTTGCAAGTACTTGGATTACTTGACTACTACAAAGAGATTAAGCTACATACAAATTACCAAAACTCAGTGTTCCACTCTAGTATGTTGTAATCTCCTACAAGCTGCTCATCTGAAAGCTTAGCCTCGCTACAGTTGTACGGTTTATAACCAGCTCGCACCCATGACCTTACTAATTGAAGAGCTGCGAGTAGCTCACTGCCCAGAGCACGTCGTTTAGGTTCAAGAAGGTCGCCAAGCTCACTGAAGAGGCGCTCACAGTCGCTGCTTGATGCTGGGATAGTCATGATATCGATTGCAAACTGCGCTAAATGCGGGTATTTCGGCAGTAGTTGTATCCAGTATTGGACAGGATTTCCATCTGCGTTGTACTGCTCCTGCGTCCACTGCGGCTCTTGTGTTTTCCAGCGCTCAAACTCGTCAAGTGGAGCCTCTCGGTCATTGTTGCGGCTAAGTATAGCAATAATTGCCTCGTCTATGTTGTTGCTACTCGGCGCAGTTGTATACCGCTGGCGTGCTCGTTGAGGTTTGTATGCCGCCCAAAGCTGTTGGAACGACGCGTTGGCACTAGTAAGCCAATCAGCTTTGTCTGCCCACGCCACATCGCAGTAGTTCTTGTAGTACGGGTGTAGGCAAACAGCGGCGTAGTAAGCGGGCGAGTCGTCGAGCTTGTTGTAGTAGTCGTTGGCTTTGCTCCACGCGGCGCGGAGGTTGACGTTGAGGTGATCCTCTGGAGCCTCGGCATGAGCGTTGAAGTCGACGTGCTCGAACGGGCGCGCCCGGGCCTCAAGCTTGCTGAGTACGTACTCAAAAACGGGTATAACCTCATAGATTGCGCCGTATTTGCCATCCTTAGAGCGTCCCTCGAGGCGTTTTGTGGCGTACTTGAGCGGCTCTAAGCAGTCCTGGTACTCTGCAATCACCGCCCAGTCAGCAGCTCGGAGCCCAGTTGATCTCATCCAGTTTGGGGCGTCGGGCCGCTTATTATTCCGCTGCGCAGCGTGCGCATCTTCAAGGATAACCCTATTGATATGATGCTCAGCGTACAAGTTATACGCGGCTTGAAGCTTGGTAGCGCGCTCAAAAGCAGCATAGTATGAGTTCCAGCGAGTGACGACAGGCTTGACTGGCTCGAGTACTTTGAGACGCCCTTCAGCAGGCAGGTTGTTGTTGGCAAGGCGCTGGTAGCCACGAAAAAGCTCGTACTGTTGCGGCGTTTTGATATAGTTGATGACGTCAACTAGCACTCCAATAGGCCCATCTTTCCGCCACTCTCGCATATACTGCTCCTCGGTATTGTACTGCTCTTGAGTGTTGCCGTAGGCGTCTTTGTTGGTGCCAAATATAATAGCCTGGCCGATGAGGTTAAGCGTGTGACAACTGCAGCGGAGGCGCCGGTGAGCGGACTCAAATTCGTACTCGCGCGCGAGCGCGGCGATCGCAGTGTCGTTGTTGGTAGCGTTGTCGAGTACAAAATAGCCTAATCGGTCGCTTGTTATTCCGTATGCTGAGAGCGTCGTCGAGATAGCTTTGGCAATAGCCTCACCGGTGTGGGCGCCAGCGAGCTCAGGCAGATCGATTGGTAAGTCTCGTATTATTCCAGCTGCGTCGGCAAAGTGAGCGACTACTCCAAAGAAGCCACGTTTACCACCCTTTGTTGTCCAGCCATCAAAGCTTACGTGTATTTTGCTTACTGAGCCTGACAGGGTGTCGATAACTTGCGGTCGTATAGACCGGAACAACCTCATCACAAAGGTAGAAACGCTGGTATTACTTACCCACAACGCTGCCTCTGCCTCTGGGTTGGCAAATCTCATCATCTCTCTAAAATCAGGCGTCGTAAGTTCGCTGAGCGGGTGGTTTCGGTTAACAAGCCACATGACAGTGGCTGTTCGAAAGCCCTCTACGTCGAAGTTTCCAAACGCGTTAGCAGTGTTTTGTTGTACGTCTAAACCAGCGTCAAAAGCTTGCCGCAACGACAGCTGGCCTCGAGCTCTCTGCGCTAACTTTGGGCCATCTTTCGTAAGGTTGTGGCCAGGCTTTGGTTGGCTGAGATGGGTGGCTGCTGAGGTTGTAGCCTGAGTAATGTTAAACAAACCACCACGGCCAGCGTCGATAGTTTTGTGTACATGGCAGTACTTGCACACAAACCAGATTCGAGATGTAGCATGGCGCTCAACAACGCGGTAGCCATACTGAAAGATCCAACTTTTTGGGCGCTTAGAACGCGCCAATGGCTTGATAAAATCAGGTAAACGTGCCCAGTCAATGCCGTCAAAGTTCTCAACTAGTGCGCTGTTTGTCTCATCCTGACCACCCTCTCCAGCCTCAGTTGTAGCCACCGTGCCAGCTCGGCTGCCCTCGGTGGGCGCGACAATCTCAGCCTCCGCCTGCGACTCTAAGAACTGCAACTCGAAGGTAGGTATTGGCGGCGAGGCGTTAGCCTGGCTTGCGGCAGCTAGGGTTTTGCGAGGTGATCGACGCTGAGGTCTAGGCTTAGATGCAGGCTTAGATGCAGGCTCAGGTGAAGCCTCAGGAGTTGAGGCGACGTTGTTGGTGGCAGCGGCTACTTTCGTACGTTTGCTCCGAGCAGAAGTTTGTGGTAGGCGACGTTTGGCCATATTGGGGGTATCAGGGCAGTATAAATCACTGGAAAACGCGTTGCTATAGGGGATACTGCATTGCGATAGGCTTCTAGACAGGCGTACGTCGAGATTGGAGCAATGCGCTAGACTAAGGCTAACGTTATTTGATAGCCGCTTAGCCTGTTTGGGACTCAACCGAGGCAACTGCAACACTTCAAAACCATCGCGACATCTACCGTACAGCAGTTTTAGCACCCTCATCACAGTAACGCTAAAACAACCAAGTAAACCAAGTAAGCCAAGCAAGCAAAGTATCTTGACTTGACTTGCTTGCTTAGCTGCCCAGCTCTTACTTGACTTGCTTGCTTGGTTTAAACCAAGCAAGTCAAGCAAGTAATCCAAGTCAACTTGCTTTTTGGAAAGTCTGGGGCTGCGATCTCAATGTGATTGCAGAAAGATGGGTCAAGTATCTCGCGTATATCTACCTCGTCTCTGCTAAGGTAGCACAGTCCGCAACAATCAATTAAGTGGGTCCTAGAAGGTTCAGATTGGATTGATTGATTACCGCTTTAAGCCTAGTAGTTACCTATAGGAGTTTAAGCCCTACCTAGATAGGTAAGTGGGTCTAGGAGAGTGACCGGATTGAATTGATTGTTGCGGAGTCTATAAGGTAGCACAAAGATACAATGTCGTGGTCGTCTGCCAGTGACCTGAGTGTTTGACTGACATTGGCAGCACCATCACCCATGCCATCGCCACACTCATCCAGCCCATCCACTACGATCCGTACACAGACTCCGCAACAATCAATCGATTGACATGATTGATTCCTATATAGGTTAAAGAATTACTTCATTAGGCAGCCTTTAACCTAGATAGGAATCAATCATGCCGATCCGATTGATTGTTGCGGAGTCTGTCCGTACATCCTCGAACGTTTTTGCCATTTCCTTGATCAATTCAACAAGTTCGTCGACTTCTGGGCTGCGTGGTAATTGATTTTGTGGCTTTAGCGTGGAGGCGTATGCCTGGAGTAGCTGGAAGCTTTGCTCATTCTGCCTCGCAAGCTGCGACGTAATGGTACCTAATATGCTCACCAGCTTCTGACTTTTCTTATCTTTGTAATCGCAGTAGAAGAATGCCACAGCTCGCTGTTGTGTAGCTTGATCTAGACACCGTTGTACAACCAAGCTCGACAGCACTGTCTTGCCCGCACCAGGTATACCACTTAACCAGATGCTTGTTCGACCCACGTATCCAGCTTGTGAAGGTGTCATTCTCGATCAGCCAGAATCCGGTGTTTGAGTGTCTGAGTTTCGAATTCGCCTGGAAGATTCCTTGAGGATTGACAAAGGGAAATGAGTCCAGAGTCCTTTGGCGCTCTTCGTCAATCGCCATGCGCGTCTCGATATCAGCCTTTTCTCGTAGCTTAGCCTCGACATCGTGGATTTCTTGCAGTAGGACATCTTGTGTCGCAAGGCGTTTGAGCAGCGCTGTCATACTATCTGCAGACAAGACGAAGTTGAGATTGTTTCGGTGTTCGCGAATCTCGTTAGCAGACTCCGCAACAATCAATCGATCGACATGATTGATTCCTATATAGGTTAAAGAGTTACTTTATTAGGCAGCCTTTAACCTAGATAGGAATCAATCATGCCGATCCGATTGATTGTTGCGGAGTCTGCTCGTTAGTGACCTGCTTGAGATTGACGACTTTGGACGGCCAAGTAAGCTTTTGCATCTTTTTACGTAACGTTAACGTCTTCTTGTTTCCGAGACCGAATTCATTGATATCGGCCTCCAACCTGTACAACGTAGCGAGGCACGCATTGACGTGACCTGGGCGAATAGAGTAGTCTTGCGTATGGTTTGATTCCAGGTCCTCGGCTATCAGATGCATATTATGCAATACGCCATTAAGCTCCGCAATCTCATTCTTCAGGGTCAGGACCTCCTTCTCCGCGCTCTTCACATCTTTGACATAGTGGTAAATGTAACGGTTTGGGCCTTGCCAAGACCAACTTAGGTGAGAGTTGGGTACGGCTATCGCTACCACACTTTCTCATCACACACACCTATATAGCTGCAGTTCCTCCATAGCTACACAATGCAACGCAGTCCTCCTCCTCCTCCTCCTCTCCTCACCCCGTTACAGTAAAGCTTCCGAAAAATTGTATCGCCTAGAGAAACGAGACCTGCAATGGACGAGGCTATCGATAAAGGGTCCATTGGCCCAATAAAGAGGGGGGATATTCTTGAAAACTAAGACGCGTGTAGCTGGCGATTGCAAGGTCGTCCGTTGTGGTCTTTTGGTATCATTGGGGAGTGACGGTCTTGAGTGAGAACAGAATGCAACCTTCGGATCTTTGTCTTTAGATTCTACTGCATGTCTGTCCTGGTTGTATCTCGTCACTGAAGTGGCAATGTAGTCGCGAATCGGTTTTGTTTGCTGTCGCGGCAGATGTGTCGCGACCTTAACTTATCTACCTCGCTTACCTCTGCATACCTAAGTGGGCTTACATCACGCCTCCACTTGTTCTGAAAGGTGCATGTGACGGCTGACTGATCAACAAGGAAGCGCACTTTCAGCTCCTGCGCGTTTTTCTAAATGACGGAAAATTTTGTAGGAAGTTGCACATCATAGAACCCATATCTTATGAGCGAAATACAACATTGTAGTGTTAAACATGCACTTGACGATGCGTGTTTCCAATCTGCTGTAGCATATGTAGTTGCCAACCTACATGAAATATCACTCGTGGTACAACATAAGTAATTCCTGTGCGATACGTGGCATGTGAGAAGTCGCAATACAGACACGGCACGAGTGGCCCCCAACAGCTGAAGTGCCGGTGCCAAGGCAACGAGCCGAGGGCAGGAATTGTCGCGAACTGCCGCGAACATGGTGAAGTGGGAGGCAGGAGGACTTACTTTGACGGAAGATGCATGTAAAGCGACATGTGTTGTCGATAACTATTTCAGCTATCGTGGCTCCGTCAAGGACTGCCCTTGCGTAGCGCAGCGTTCCCCGGGCCCATCATGTCCACTTCGCGTACTAGCACACAGCACATGTGACTCTTCAATAATCCACCGTAAGCGGTACTACAACATGTTTAGTGCATCAAATACATCTGGTGTTGACCTAATGCAGAGGGGCTGAGGCGGAGACGCCGCATAACCTGCGCTAAACCCAAGGCGCCCTGCGCTGACGTAGCAGTCTGTAGCAACAACTCTCAGACTCCAGAGCCTCGTCTTCCAACGCCGTTTGTTGCGGGGTATCGGAAAGGCGCTTATCCGACCCAACACGACGGCAGATCTGTGGTAGTATACCTATAGATATAGGATCCCGCAACCTTAAGAGAAGCCGAATCGGTAAAATCGCCGCTTGGAACGCGGAAGCAGGAAGCGCCCAGAACGCGTACTCTGCACATCACGACGCCACCAATCCAGAATCGCGTACCCACTGACTCTGAGACAGCATATCCAGGTCAAACTTCAAGTTTTTGAACATTGCCAGGGCGCAGGTGATGCGCTTACTGGCTTCCAAAGATGCACGATCCAATTGAGCTGGATCTTGGGGCTTTATCCAGATGCGGGACGACGCCGGAATCAACGCGAATTCTTGATGCACGCCTAGCTGCCATGGATGTTCCTGATGTCAGATGGTTCTGCCTTCAACTAGACGTGGCATCCATGGCCCGTATCTGTTTCACGTGCATCAGCATCAGGTACCAGCAAAGACCGCAAAGTTTGTGGACGGAGCAAAGAGGCGGAGATACGCATAAGTCTACACATTAAGATTGTCGAGTTCGATCGGGCGCAAACGGGATAGTACTGATCTACGCGACGTGGAGCTAAGAGATGATCGCGGTTAGAGATTCAAGGTCGGACGTGTGCCCCTCGAGGTTTTAGAGCGATCATTACTTCTAGACTCCGCAACAATCAATTCAATCCGGTCACTCTCCTAGACCCACTTACCTATCTAGGTAGGGCTTAAACTCCTATAGGTAACTACTAGGCTTAAAGCGGTAATCAATCAATCCAATCTGAACCTTCTAGGACCCACTTAATTGATTGTTGCGGACTGTGATTACTTGAAGAACGAATTGCAATGTCGACATATCACGATGATCCTTGATTGTATTTGTGTATATTCAAGGGGACCCTGATCGCAAAAGGTCCACAAGATGTTCTGGAACAGGGGCCACCAGCCTCGATTTCTGTCGCGAATATACTGACCCATCGGCTGCTTTCCCGCCGCCGTCGGCCGGAGTTCTCCCTTGGTGGCAATCAAGTTATGACCTGCAATTTGAAGCCGGGTGCATACAAGCAGCCCAATCATTCATCACCAGAATCCGATTAGTGACTTATTGCCTGTTAAACCGCGAGGATACCATGGCTTGCACGATGGCGTAGGGCGTTGATGCCATGTAAGGCTAACGGCGGAAGCACGTCCGACGTTTCATCTGGACGTATAGTAGACGTCGGAGCGGCAGACTCAACCCGCGAGCATTGAATCATGGACAATCAACCTCGCCTGGGCGCTCTGAATTTGCTTGTCCATTGTACAGCCCTGAACACGTCTGCATTTTAAGGTTCAATTTTCTGGAACCTCGACCCTCTTATATGCACATGGCACACTTGGCCCCTATAAGTGTTCAAGACGCCTTGTAGTTGAGGCCTCGTATCGTACTTGTGCTGCCAACCCTCTTTGAAATATTCAACATGGCCTCCGGATCTGCGCTTACACCGGAAATCATTTTTTCCTGGCCAAAACCTAATTATGTTGATCCAGTCTCGCAAAAGGCTTCTATCGATGCTGCTGTCTATGCAACGACCATTACAATGATTTGTTTTGTCGCCGCCAGACTCTACGTTCGAGCAAATCAGAAGTCGGGCATAGTAGCAGATGATTGGATTATGGTAGCTGCAGCTGTACGCTTGTCCGATATTCTTTCGCTGCCCATTTAACATATTTAGGTGTCCAACACTGCGACTTCTGTCTGTCTCCTGATCTTGACTACCAAAGGTCTCGGTCGGCATCTTTACGATGTCAAGATGGGATGGCTAGTGCCGTTTGCAAAAGTATGTAACCGTCGCCAAACGAATTTCCAGGCACTGATAGCTTTAGCTCAATCTCGCCAGCCTCACCTTATACACTGTCTCCATTACTCTCACCAAGGTGTCAGTCTGTATGACCTACTTGCACCTTTTTCCCTCGCGAACGAATAGATACTTCTGTTGGACAATGATCACATACCAATCGCTATGGTGTGTAATCACTTCGGTACTCTATATTCTCCAGTGCATGCAAGTCACCCGATCCAAAATCAGATGTGAAGTCTTTGCTAACAGTCCTCTCTCAGTCCGATCCAGTCGATTTGGGATCCTTCCATTACCGACAAAACATGCCTCGACTCTCGTCAACTACTCACCGCAAACGCGGCCCTTGGCGTTGTATCTGACTTTCTGATATTTCTCTGGCCCGTCGCACCACTCTGGCAAGTCAAGCTGCCTCTTACACAACGTGTGCATCTGGTTGCGGTATTTTCTTTTGGGGTCTTGACATGTGTGGGAGGCATCTTGAAGGCTATATGGGTCCAGGACTACTTCAAATCGTGGGATGCAACCTGTAAGTCACTCTGTCTGGCAGGGCTACGGTTCGTAATACTGACATGATATATCTGCAGGGGTTGGGTCTCGCGTCACCATCGCACTCTGCATCGAGTACAATGTTGGCACGATGAGTGGTTGTCTCCCTTGTTTACGACCGCTCCTGGCAATGGTCGCCCCGAAACTTTTTGCAGGATCCTCTGTCGCACGCAGCAATGGCTACCCCGCAAATCCCGGTGGGGGATCATGGCGCAAATCCCCCTTTAGTTCGAAGAACGCAAACTCACTTAAGCTGGGCTCCACTGGACCATCAGACTATGACGACACGCACGAACTCACCGACGCCAAGTACCAGGGAGCGCCGCGCACAAGGATCGTCAGTGGGAAACGGGCATCACGAGCTGACATCGATACCGTGCCTCTGCCTGGTATCCGAGTAACCCAGGATATGTATATTCGTGATGGGAATGATTCCCCGCGCATTATGATCAGTGACACGACTAGTGAGGAGTGGATCATGAAGGAAGATTCTCACAAATGATTCAGGAAACAGTGGTAGACAAGTCTGGTTATATAAGCATCCACGAGTTCACACAGGTACCCCGCACGTTCACTAAAGTCCAATTGAATGAAGAAACATATCACTAAAGCATGTTCGTTGAGGACGCTGTGCAAAGATTGGTAGCTTTTCTTTATGGTCCCAGGGGCTTACAGGCGACGAGCGGCCTTAGCCAGTTTGAAGGCCTGTTACTTGAGGATGTAGATATTCGGTACGTCTGCTACTTCAAACCTCAGAAGCGGCGTCTTGTTTAGGGGCAAGAAGATGGGCAGTGCTGCGCTGCAGAAGCGGCGCCCGAGACACTACTCAAAACGACAACGCGCGTCCGCCAGGTTCACCTTGCACAGAAAGAGAGAGATAAGACGATTTTTTTGGTAAGCATCTTGTTACCACAAAGCTACAGGATCGTGTGATAATGTAATGGGTGTCATGAATGCGTCCACTGCCTCGTCATCAGCTGGGGAAGGCTCGGGTAGCGCGGTGGCTGGAGGTTACGCGTCGGATAGTTATTGGTGAGCCACAATTGGCCCGATTGGGTTATTGTGGTTTTCGAAATACCTTGAGCCGCCTGGATCTGGTTAGCTTGGTGCCCAAGAACATCAACTCCCATAGTAATTTGTTAGTAAATTAATGCAGCAGCCGTTTCCCACCTCCAGAAGCCCATGAAGCTAGTCCTGTACTCTAAATCGTTCGTGTATAGCGTTTTGTTTGTGTGGAGCTTGTTGCGAGCTCAATCTAGCTGCTGTTGGGATGCCGCCCAAGCGCCAGCGTAAGCCGAAGCAGCCATTCGATCAAGGCGTTAACCCGTCCTCCCAGAAGCGTAGAGCGCCAGCAACTAGACAAAATCCTACCCATTTAACGCCTAAACGTGTCCGCCGTGAGGCGCTGCCGTCGCCTCCAGCGACTGCCCCGCCGCGCCGTCAAAGCCCGTTGTCCGAGCCTGAGCTGCAAGCCACCCAAACAGCTGCCTCCGCGCAAGCTGAAGATATCGTTGGCGAGGATGAGGATACTTTCGAGGATGGAGATGGCGATCCGCTGCCTGAGGATGAGGATGAGATCGCTGCTAAGGGCGCTGCCGGTAGTGTTGAGGATGAGGGAGAGCCAGCGTACCGACGTCAAGAAGGCACTCCATGGCTGCCTCGCTCATCGCAAGCGCTAGAGGATGAGGTTAATCCTGTACTGCGCGTTAGGTGGAGGGCTTGCCTTGGTGGTGATATGGAGAAACACTTTATTCCTGAAGCTGCCGATAGCGAGCACGGCGTACGGCTGTACTCGCTGCATTTCGACGACCTATGGCAGTGGGTAGATGACGTTGTTGCAGAATTACGGCCAAAAAGAGCGAAGATCTCATCTGTTTGCACTGTTGTTTACCCAGCTAAGCAGGCCAAACGCGAGCGCGCGATAAAGCGATTGCGGCGAGGTGTTGATGCAACGTGGAATAGCTTTCAGCGCCTTGTTGTAGAGGTTGATAACTATGTCAGCGAGCCAGTAAACGTCGATTTCGAGCTCATCTTGGCTGAAATTCCAGGGGAGCAGCAGCCGTTGCCAACGGTTGTCGACGGTCCTCGTCGACGCACCGCAACGGTGATTCAAGAGGAGGGGCTTGCTGGTGTAATAGCAGCTGAACAAGCAGGTAGCGGGCATGCTATTGCTATCCGGGATAGATGGCGCTGTACAGATACCCATTGCGAGAACTATCCTTATTGCTGCTGGATGGCGCCAAGCGAGGCAGCCAGCGCGCTTCGAAGATCACCTCTTTGTCAACGGCAACATTATCTCCATGTGGGCAAGAGCAATTACAGCGAGAAGGGCAACGTACGATGAGCCATCTGATGATGTACGGCTTGCAATTTTGAGAGCAAAGGACCTGCGGGTGCATGAGAAAACGCGCAAGTTGCGGGCGGCTGGAGATGGCGACGATGATATCAAAAGCTTAACAAAACTGCTCATCGTTGGACAGCTTGAGCGGATGAACAGGCAACCTCAACAGGAGTCTAACTTGCAGGCAGCTGCACCAACGATAACAAGAGCTGAGGTATCTAGTGCATCTCAGTGGGCGCCTATCCGATATGATCATGAGCAGGAGATTAACGAGCATACTAGTAATTTCTTTAACTACCTTAAGTTAAAATTTCCTACAGTTGGAGAGGACATTAACGAGCTTTATAAGACTCTTGTTATTGACGGAGCTATGGATATCAACCTCTTGATGCAGCCATCTGGTGATATCTTGAAGTTGTGGACGCAGCATTTCAAGCAGCCTCCTGGCTGGTTTTTCACGCTACAAAACACTGCAAAAGAATGGCAAGCTGGGTACCAGGGTCTCACAGATCGTAACTGGAGACGAGTCGAACGTTGTAAGAAAAGAGAAGAGATTGCGCGCAAGAAATTGGTGGTTGAACCGTCTAGCAGTGTTGTGGAGGATGATGGCGAGAATGCTTGAAGCTTAGTGGCCTGAGCGTTTTTGGTGACAGCGGCCCGTGCCCGCTATAGTGTTGAGGTTTTTCAGGCGTTTCAAATGCGCTGCAACAATAGTCTATTTGGATAGCCCTATGTACAACACTACAACGTTATGCGATTATAACAGGTTAACTTCCTAAGATAGTTCTATATGTATAGAAATAGCTCTTATTTTTTTAGAATTATTAAATCGCTTTTGTGGGTTGCGCATTAAGGTGTAATCGTTCGCATTTGTATGGTATCATCTACCTATAGAAACGTACTGTGGCATCCATTTAAAAGCACAATTAATAGGGATAGCCACACCTATGGAACCAGCTTCTGCAGTTAATATTACAGCACACCAGCTGCGCTGCATACTCAAGAAAGACCCCAAAGTCAATGAAGTTCTCCGCTTGCGCTGAATTCCTTTTCATCCACCCCTTGAGCTGCTTAAAGCTCTTCTCGATGGGGTTGAAATCTGGTGAGTATGGCGGCAGATACTCAAGGAGTACTCCAGCACTTTGGCAAAGCACCCGTACACGCTCTGATCGATGGATGGAGGCGTTATCAAGCACGATTACTGAGGCTGGCCCTGGGTGAGGATTGCAGAACGGCAGCACTTGAAACTCTAAGAAGTCTTCTAGGATCTCAGATGTAATCGCGCCTTGAAAGATCTTATAGCTTATGTAGCCATCTATCGTCATGGCTGGCAGCAGCGACCACCGTTCTGATCGCCTGAAGCTGTGTGATAGCTCCACCGGCTCCCCGATTGGAGACCAGCCATACTTGCGGTCGCCCGTACGCTCATTGCAGGCGCTCTCGTCCAACGCAACGATCTGCTCCGCCTTATAGTGTTGCGCCATCCTGGCAAGATAGAGGCGGCGGAGTGGCTCACTCTGCTCCTTTGCCCGCTTTGTTGCAAGCTTGCGAGACCATCTCATCTTCTCTAGCTCTCGGTAAACGCTCGCAAGGCTTATCCTAACGTCGTACTCGTCGTACAAGAAGTCCCTCATCTCATCCATGTATGCGCCCGGTGAGCCATTGAGGTATGCCTGAAGGCCTTCGCGCTGAGCTTGCCGGAGTATAGATGGCCGCCCAAGTCGAACGCAGCGCGGCGGATAAGGCACGCCCCAAAACTCTAAGCTCAACCTCAGCTTTGCTACTGTGTTACGGCTCGCACCTGTAGCTCTAGAGATGGCTCGATCACTTTCGCAGGCAGCAATTCGGTCGAGGATAGCCTGGAGAACAGCGGGCTGCAAGCGGTGGCCGGTGCCTGGCATCGCGATGAGATGGGCTCGAGAAAATTGCAACACCAAAAACGCGAGTCAGTAGAGGCGATCGCAGCAAACAATGAACTTCAAATACGTTGTGGGTGTTAGAAAGCGTGGCTGCATCGATTTACTAACAAATTACTATAGGAGTTGATGTTCTTGGCCACCAAGCCAACCAGATCCAGGTGGCTCAAGGTATTTCGAGAAACACCCATAGAGCTCCCGACTGCGGCCCTACTCCCATTCCCCGTCCCTAACGCCTTTCACAGCCCGGTTCTTGCTTATGAATTGCTGTGGTCGGGCCCGATCCTCCCAGTGCTACAGCCAGCATCATCGCTATCCTCCACCTCATTGGACAAACTTTTATCTTACCCGAATGACGTCAAAGAAGCTTGGCAGAATGGTGCGCAATGTACCGCATCTATTACTAATCTTTAGACTCCTCTCAAGCCAAGGTTCTGACTAGAAGAGGGATGTGCCGAAGCCTCGTGGTAGTTGTAGCTTGAGACTTGGTAAACTCTTATCCAGAAGCTTCCAAATCATTACCTAAAAAACTCGTCATGAATACTACGCGCAACGCTAGTCCGACAATGAATAGAGCATTTGCTCGGTTACTATAGTTAGTGTGTGAAGACATCTTAACTAACCGCGTTGCAGGATTGTCGAACGCAGAGCTTAGACTTAGTGGTGACCCAATCGCGACCGAAGCAGCATCCAGGGTGTCACTCCAGGAAATTTGCTTTTGTATCATGGTAGGACGAGTAAGAAAGCGGAGACTACGTAGCACCCGATCCAATGGTCTTTCCAAGAGAAGCTTGTCACATTGTCACTGCCAGACACGTCGCCGAGCGACTATCTCCTTGCTTCATCGCGCATAAGAGATGATTCCTCAAAGTTAAGGCGTCCTGCCTTAATATTAGTTCAGGAGACGGTTCAAGGGGAACCAAGAATTTCTTTGACCAGCTTCTCGGTATCGTCACAGCCGGCTTGGGCGCGCTTGGAGCCAAAATTCTTGGCCGTGGACGAAGACGGCAACTTACTCGAAGAGCGTTCTAGATGGTGCGCTATCCGCCGTCTTAGCAGACCAGGAAGGGCCGTCTGGCTAATTCAGGCGTCTGTTGAGAACTCTATAGGCAAGGGTAACTGAGGGGAGTTGGCCTGGGGAAAGCAGGGGAAGCGCTAAGGCGGAACTTCAAGAAATTGATGGGTGGAGCCAAGTGCAGTGACAGGGTGTCAGACACCTTCCACAGTGCTGAGGGTCTGTGCTTCCGGTGATGACAGAGCACTCGTCAAGTTCGAGGTTTTGAAGGTTGACACACATGGAAAAACTATTTCTGGGTGAGTCGAAATCTCCATACCTGATCAAATTGGAAAGACCTACAAATTGATCAAGCAGTCGATGGGTGGCAGAACCAGAACTCGAGTGCAGATCAAACCCCAATGAACTCTGGCTGTGATGTCTACTCATCTATAATCGGGCTTGGTCGTCGAGTGTGAAGAGAACGGCAGTTTGTAAAGTTGTGGGATGCCTCCCAGCAGCCCATCATGCCTAGCGTCGTTGGGCCGCCTTGCGCGTTAAGCTGAATGGCCTGCATCTCCGCATTTTTCAAAAGACGAAGTCCTTCTCTAAGCCTTGAGAATTTCGTGCAGTAAGGGTATCTTTGATCATGGTCCTGTTGGTGGTGTTGTTAGTGTCGAAGGCTTAGTGCTGCGAGATTATGGATAAGCGTTCAGCCGCCTCGGGCGCTGCCCGCCCGTCTGACCCGGTACCTACGTTAGCGCCGGGGGTACTCTCAGAGGATACGACCCTGATGCACGACTTACTTTGTGCACATATTCCGCCATTCCACACCAGCGCTTGGACAAATCTCATTAGGTACAGGTGGTGATCAGGTCTCACCAAGATATTGTTGCCGTGCGCCAATCCCATTACCTACGTCATGTCACTTCGAAAAGCCCATACCAAGTCACGTTTTGGCTGTTTGCCCTGCAAGAAGAGGCATATCAAGGTAAGTATCAGCGAATCGTACTAAGAGAAGAGCGTCCTACTTACTAAGCAATTGACTCTAGTGCGGTGAAGAGGTTCCCTTGTGTCAAAATTGTGTCTTTCGGAAGGTGATTTGTGAATACGGAATAGCAGCAAGAGCAAGTCCTGGCATCCTTGCCAGAGCTGCAAGCTTAGATGACGCCAGATCAACAGTTTCTCCACCACGTGGTGGGTTGCAACAGTTCTCGACGACACCGCGTACCCGTGAACCAATACCTTCACCAGGAATTAGGGTTCCCAGGCAACAAGAGCTACAGCTCATGATTTGCTTTATGAATAAAACCAGTCAAACTCTGGCACATGGTGACGAAGATCTTGTCATTTGGAGAGAAGCAGTTCCAGATGAGGCTGTAAATTGCGACTTCCTCATGGATGGGCTTCTAGCAATGGCAGCGCTTCATTTCGCCTACGAGAACCCCGATTCGCGGTTGCAGTACACCGAACTCGCTATGAGATACCAGAACTCAAGCTTACAAGTGTACAACAAAGCTCTGGATAATATCAACGAGGAAAACTGCACTGCCCTTTTCGCGTTTTCTATTATTGTCAATATCATGGCGCTTGCTTAGCCAAACACGATTCCAGATTCGTCGCCTTCTGCATATACTGAAAGCATTATGATTGCGTTGGAACTTATTCGAGGCATTGGTCTCAGACACTCCAGCGCCATTTCAACACATAGAACTGGAAAGCTTGCATCGATTTGTCGACCTTTGCTGCCAAATCTCCAGCCTGAAGATGAGACACTGGCTGCCCTTGATAGACTCCGTCAACGAGCCAATACTCTTCTGGCCTCTGAATACGTCGAAGAGAAACGTCACGCAGTCTATCTCTCCGGTATCCAAAGCCTCGAAGTAGCTGTTGGATGTATGAAAGTGTCCAATCATCTCGGACGCATCATTGGCTGGCCTGCTTCGCTCCGGTCACCAGAGCACTGCGAAGAGCTCATGAGGCTCTTCAAACACGGCGATATCATGACAAAACTCATCTTTATGCATTATGGTGTACTCTTACTCCAGACACGGCATCGTTGGTGGGGTCGACGTACTGGAGTCAGTCTCATCCAGGACTTGGCGATCTCTGTACGGGCTGCGGGTCCAGATTGGGGTTTTGGAATGAATTGGCCAATGAAGGTCGCTAAACGTAGTATTGATGGAGTTGAGAATGCTTTTGTCCCGCGAGACTCATAGATCGTTAGGTACATGATACGCGTGTACAAAACCACTCGCCCTAACAGCACAAGTCTTTACTCAACGTAACGAATAAACCGAAACTAGCCCCCGCACCACCTTACCCTTCCCTCCCTTCAAAAGTCCCGTAATCTCACTCAGATGAATCCATGCCATCAAAACCATAGTCCCCAACATAAATACCGCATCAAATCCATAGAAAAACGCCTCATGCGATGTCAGAAACTGTCACGGTTTGGTGATGGGACTATGCCTATCTGAGACTAGCGCTGTTTATGGTCACTCACCTACATAAACTTTCCATAGCTTGTACAATAGAACCTCAGTCAATCCTCAACTTCTTCCCTATGCGTAGGGTTCACCCACTCCAACAGAAACCCATTCCTCCCCTGCACATACTCCACAAGCCGGAAAACGCACCGCACAAGAATAAGTAAACTAGACCCATAGAGTGTCCCAAGCTGCCTTATCCACGGTATAGGCTGTGAGTGCAGTTTCGCAGTGGGCTCACGCAGTAACCTAATATGGAAAACAACTCCAACAACCACGAAAAACCCGAAGGAAACAAGCTGCACTACCAACCCAGCTATAATAATCTTCTCACCAGTATGCACAGCCGTAATGGTTCCGCTTGCCATGATACCACCACCTAAATACATCCAGATGTCAGCTTTCTGCATTCCCCACTCCTGATCGTATAGTATAGTGGGAAGATTACTCACCACCATCCTGCATCAAAAATGACACGACATCCCCCGCAACAAACGTCTTCGTAAGCCAGTTCCTGGGTATAACCGCGTATTCTTCGCCGTCGGTGGCTAAGATGATTCGGCCGAGCATCATGTACACGCTCGCTGCGAATAACGCGGGTGCGACGAGTAGTAGAATGGTTTGGAGAGAGTATACTGCCACGGACCAGTTCGGGGATTCGTGGGCCGAGATGGCTCGCTGGGGTGGTTAGTTGGATTAGTTTCTACGTGGTGTTGGATGGTTGGGTGGAAACATACGCCTATGTAGCCGATGACTTCAACTTGGGGGTTGTGTTAGTGGTGAGGCTTCAAGAGAGGACGGGACAGGGTTGTTTGGGGAGGCTTACAGACGCCGCCGAGGACGAAGGAGATGAGGATCCAGGTGCGGTACGCAGCATTTGGTAGAGATGCAGGATTGTGATGAAGAAAAATAGGATTGTGAATAGAATCGCTGCAGCCATCGATGGGTCATAGCGGTATAGCTTAAAATGGACTGTTTCTGTCGCCATGTTGATAACTTTGGAGAACTGGGTTACGGAATGGAGTGAGTGAGTATTGAAAGCGACACGGAAGGTAGAGACGAAGTTGAGTTGGGTTGTGAGTCGGAGACTTCATTTTGGCTATTCATCTAGGTATCTGACTTTTCCCCTCGACACTGCTCCCATTAGGCATCCTTTCGAAGATACTTATGCGGGTAAAGCGTATGCGTATGCGTATGCGTATACGTGTTGTTCTGATTGGTGCGCAGAAACTACGGAGCAATACGTACTCGAGTGGAACAGTCACTCCGCTGCCAAGACCATACCACAATGTACCACAAGTAGACCTAATGTACAACAATCTATAGTGCGCATCCGACGGATATATCCAAAGCGTTCTTCTGAAAACATACAAGATTGATCGCGTAGAGCGTTACAGCATGTAAGTACAAGTCCTCGTGGAGTTCCGATACGGACCCCAGCAGCCAATCACATCACCGCTGAAACCGCTGACACGGCCCCACTCCCTTCTCGCCGCGTCCGTCGCGCAACGGTGATGCCGAAATGAATCCATGACGGCAGAGTCGTAATCCGGACTTGATGTTTAGCCGTTCCGCCAGAGGAACGAGCCACTCGGCTCTCCGCCATGAGCTGCGAATACACCCACTAGCCACAATTGGCCAACTACGTGCGTAAAAGCTACCCCCCGTACGTGCGTAAAAACAGAAAGAAACGTCAGCGACTTCCACTCCCAACAACTTCTCTCCAACCGGTTCTCGATAGCAACTACAACATCAATTGCAACCATCATGAGTAAACCACTTCATCCAGCTACCGTGCACTTCCCCATCACCGCTGCTCTTGCTACTGCGGCTCTTGATGTCGTGTACTTTCTCTCGCAGTATGGTCCTACAGCTACCATTGTAGCTTCTACCTGTATGCTTCATCCTCTTCCACCCCTCCAAAATATCACCAATACTAACCCACATCCCTAGTCAAAAGCCTCGACATAGCCCTGAGCCCTAGCCTCTTCCCGGTCCTCTCCTACTACACGACCATCCTGACGCTCCTCTTCTCTATTCCCGCCGTCCTGACCGGGATCCCACAAATGCTCCCGCTCATCCAGCGCGACGGCTTCAAAACGAAGAAAGCACAGATAGCTGTTGCGCACGCTGCCATCAACTACTTGACGATTGGAGGGGCGGCGTATAATTGGTGGACGAGGAGGGAGAACACCGGGTTCCTGCCGAGTGAGATGAATATCCTGGTTTCTAGTGTTTTGGCCATGCCGGCGACGGTGTTTGCGGCGGGTCTTGGGGGATCGCTGGTTTACGTGTATGGAATGGGTATGGGTGGTGGTGGTGGTGCTGCGAGGGCGAAGAAGGCGCAGTAGATGGAGGTGCGGAGTAGGAGAGGCGGGATAACGACGAGAACAGGGTACAGGAAGAAATGACGAATGTATTACGTGGGTATCAAACCTGAACGCTGAACAACAGTGCAGCGTAACAAAAGCAGAACAGCTCGCATCGCAGCGGCTTCTACAAGCCAAATTCAAGTATATCACAATCCTCGGTCCCCTGACAACACCGATGAGCCTTACCCTCCGACTCGCCCCTCAGCGTCTGCTCCAGCAATACCCCCATCTGTACCGCTCCCAGCAGCTCGCACCGCTGCAACTCTAACAAGTCACTCAAATGGCAGTGAAAGCACAACTCCACGTCCTCTGACCCCCCTGTCTTAGTCGCTTCAGGCAAGAGTATGACAGCAAACCCCGAAATGAGCCATTTCCCACTCCCTGGATCTAGCCGCGCGATAAACGCGTTGTTGGGATCACTGAGCCCGGAGAAGGTGCATATACGATCCCCAGGTCCAATCTCGTAGGAGCCTGGTCCGCCGCCGCATGCTAGGCCAGTGATACCATTTGTGCCTACAAACGATGTGTAGCGCGCATGTCGTTGATCGGTGTTTCTGCGAGCCAGCCTACTTCTCGTGTCTAGATACATGCCTGCAGCGTCTAGCGTCATACTTCTGGTAAAGATGTCACGAACGACTACACTGCCGTTCGACATAGTGGCATTAGCAGCGTGGTTCTTTTCGACAGGCGCTTGCACAAGACTGGCGATTATTAGATCGGCGGATTCTCCGATCATTTGGCGGCGAATCTTTTCGGTGGGACCGGGGTTGCCGGAGGGGACGTGGGGGTCGGAGAAACTCAAGACTACATCTTTTTGCTCGGAGAGGATGTGTGCGCCTAGCTCGGAGATGTCTTGGGAAGAGATACCTGGAGGGTGCATTTTTGAGCGCGACCACGTGCTTTTCCAGGTGCTGGGGTGGAAGGCTTCGTCGTAGTCTAGTAGTTCGCCTACTTGGGTGATGGTGCTGATGAAGGATATGCAGGGTACGACGCAGGGTGTGGCAACGAGGACGTAGATGTGCGTTTGTGCTTCGGGGGCAAGTGATAGTACGTGCTGTGCTAGCTTCTCGCGGGATACGTGGAGAGCTTGCATGAGAAAAGCCAGAAATTGGTAGTCGTCCTTGTCGCTCCTCTTGGAGTCGGCACCGTGAAACTGGTTCCGTAGTACATCGACGAGCAACTCCTCGGGCGCCTTGTTGTAATCGGGCTGGATACGTTCGCCGCGACCTTGAGACGCAACACCCAGGAAACCATATACCTTGTCGAACGACTCCGAGCTCTGCGACGACGCAAATGCCTGTAGGAGATCTCGCAACCGAAATGTTGCTTTCACCGTCTTGCTATTCCGACGCCCTAGAATCTCTCTCCGGTAGTGTTTGGTGTGCTTGAAGTCTCGACGGTACTTGAAGAGCAGATATCCGCGACTCATATATATCATACTCGTTGGAGACGCAATAGGCGTAGAAGTGAGGCCATTTCTCCAAATACCTTCGACTATTGCGGCATCTACTGCAAATTCTCCACACCAGATATCAACAGATTGCGCGAGTACGAACTCCTGCACAACCCACACCCGACCCCAATACGGCTTGTTCAACACGTCGGCCAATGCAGTATAAAACTCTTCGACACGCCGTAGATCCGGGTATCGCGCGAGCAGAAAAGCCAATTCTTCATTCTTCTGCGCAAGCCCTAGCCAGACGATGACGGATCCCGCTCCAGTATAGACATCGCGCATGAGGGAGACTTGGTGATTGCGTTCAGGAATGTTGGCCTGGTCGATGCAAATGGCATCGATCCACAACGGGATACTCTTCTGAGGCTCCTCTTCGTAGCATGTCTTCAGGTACTCTTTCTTGCGATATTGCTGTAAGAAGTTCCATAGGCTCGCACCAACGACAAAGCTTGTTCCGTCTATTTGTACATATTTCTCCACACCATCCTTGTCTCACGTGTAGGATAGTGCAATGTACGAGGGCTTGTCGTCTAGGTCACACACGACTAGGTTTGCCTTGAGTGGCGAATATTCTGGTGCTGGGATTATTTCCAGGAGTCGCACACTTTTTTTGTTTGCGTCCAGAGGGCTGTATTGTAGACTGGGGGGCGATGTTGTCGAAGTTTCAGACGAGGATGATACAACGGTGCTCTCAGGGGTGTTTATTGGCGCGCTATGATTGCGCTTGAGTTTCTGTAGTCCCAAGGAAGATGCAAAGGATTTGAACGGCTTGCGCTTTGGGACGTCTGCTGAAGGCATAGCCATGGTGGGGGCGGGGTCATTGGTTAGAAAGGAGCATCGGGGTCGGACATGTGTCGCTCCGAACCATCCTTGGTCTTTTCTCCAGCTGTTATCTGGCACGATAAATGGCTGTCGTGCGATGTTGCGACGAGGTTGTGAGAGACGGGAAAGTGGAGCGGCTCGGTTGAACAGTGGACCCATGACAACGCCAAACGGCCCGTAGCTCGTGCCCCTACCGCTTGTCTTCATCGATTGACATTGTCTCTGTGTTTCCGTCACTTTCTTTTTGTTGTAAGGCACAATGTCATCATGTCAGCCTCGTGGTACGCCATTATGGTCCCCCGCTTTTAGCCTCGAAGCAATCTATGGCGCTGACTATGCAGGGGCACAAGGCATCCAACCCCTCTTTTAAATATAACCATGTTTGCAGCTGTCGGTACACACCAACGATATTCTTTGCTCGTAATTGTGGTTCCCACTTTAGAATACGAGTATCGAGAAAGATGTTCTCCTTCATATGGCAGGTAACACTTGGCTTGGCGCATCTCACTTACAGCGAGCTGAACCTCTTCCAATACTTTTCATATAATATCGGGTGGAATCCGAGGATTCTAAAACTCGTACGTTGAAGAATGCAGATACAGTGATCGGGACAAGAAACATTTAAGCTGTTGTACCCTGCTTGCTGTCCAATATCGCACGCTGCTATAGCCTTCATCATGCATCGACTACTGCTATTGGCCACTCTATTAGCCACTTCACATGGCGCCATCCAACCATACATTCCTAGGGCAGCAGAGTACCGAACCGAATGTAAGACATGTCCTCGGTCTCTATGTCCCAATCAACTCTATTACGACTACGATGAAACCTTCAACGCAACATGCTGGACGCACGGAACAAAGATCATGGGTGATAACTTGTGGCTCAAGAGCGAAGCCGGATGCTATGTTACGCAATACGACGTCGTCGAGTACCCCGGAGACTGTAAGATCCCATCGCAAAACTCTCCAACCAGTAATTGACGAGACTAGATACCACCGATCTCAAATACTGCGGTCCCGAATCCGAGATACAGCACTTGACCATCGCCGACGCAACCACAAAATACAAAACCGAATGCCGAATATGCCCCGACCTAACCTGCGACGCGATTTCCTACCTCAAAGAAGACACAGACCTTGAGCTAACATGCTGGTACCCCGATGGCCAGCTCATCATTGATGACCCGTACGCATCTTGACACATCACCTCTTCTCCAACAACTCACTAACATATATTCAGATATTGGCTCAAAACCAGCAACAATTGCTACGTCGCCCGCAAAAACCTCTACGAACCACCCGACCTCACCCGCCTCGACAACTGCGGCCCCATCCCTTTTCTAGAAAACCTATGGCACAACAACGAAAACGGGACCAGCGATGTCAACAAGCGCGAGGCTGCACCTTTCCCAGGGCCTTTTTCGGCAAACTACCTCGTCAATGTTACTGTGGGAGAGGAATATTCCTACTGCCGCTCGTGCACAAACACGACGTGCGAGGTAGAGAAGACATACGAGTTTGACCAAGAAGTTTACGTGCAGTGCATTGCACGGGATAGTGCAGATATATGGTGGAGCTTGACGACGGATTTCTGCTATGTGCCCAATTCGGACTTTTGGCAGTCTGTAGAGGGGGATTATTATAGAATGCCGTTGTGTGAGTACTTTGACGGAAAGCCGCCAGGTAGCGACGACGTGGCTTTGCAGCGGCGAAATGATGAGTAGGTGTTATGTAGGCACTTTTGTATTACTGCAAGATGAAATAAGAGATGGTATTTAAAGAGGGATATAATGTGAACAAAGGAAACAAAAGTTGTGTGAGAAGTATGAACTGCCAAGTGCTGAAGAGAAGAGAAAAGAAATGAAGAAATGAAAATATCAAGATCGCCTGAGCCGAAACCACGACAAGGGATTCAGAATGTCCACGCCATTCCTGTCCTTAATCAGATCTGCCGCTTTTTCCGCAACGGCATACATTGTTGATTGAAGATGTGTGGCAGGGATCAAGGGAATGATACTCGCGTCTACAATGCTCAATCCCGATACGCCATACACGGCCAGATCGTTGCCCACACAGCCACCATAACTCTCCGGCATCATGGAACAGCTACCCGACATGTGCGCAAATGACGCCGCTAGCGAGCTCTGCTGAATGAGGGCTTTTATAATCTCATCGTCGCTTTGCGCCTGCGTGCCCGGTGTAATTTCGACAGGATCGAACTTGTTGAGTTGAGGCAATGCCCAGTGTTTGCGCGTCCACTTTACCATTTCAACGAGGATTTGCTTGTCGACTGGATTTTGGAGAGCGTTGAATTGGACTTTGGGGTTGCCGTACTTGTTTTGGGGGTTGATGGTGATGGTGCCGCGGGAAAGTGGGCGTTGCAGACAGCTGATGGCTAGGCCAAAGGGGACCATGGGGAACTCGCCGGCAGCTGCATCGGGACTGGCATGGAGATTTGCAATGATTTCGCGTTGTTTGCTGAAGCCGCGGAGAAGAGCGTAGTCATCATAGACAGAAGGAAGGTAGGAGCGTACGTTTTGCGCCTTGACAGTCGATACGATTGAGCTCCATTTACTCGTGATGCTTTGCAAGCTCAAAAAGGCCAGGCTGCTACCGTGGGCTTGTGTAAGTGGTCCTGAATCGTTATCTTCGTATTCTGACCATGCCGTGGCATTGTAGCTTGGATCTTGGCCGCTAAAGGGATTTGGAACGGACAGGTCCTTGAGGTTGAAGTACATGTTGGCGTTAGGGTGGTCTTGCATGTTGGCACCGACGGCTGGCATATCCCTTCTTACATTGATCCCTGCCGCATTCAGTACACTTCTAGGACCTAGACCGCTGAGTTGTAGGATTTGAGGCGTGAAAACGGCACCAGCAGCCATGATGACTTCGCGCTTGGCGTAGACCTTGTTGATAGACCCATCTGTTCTTGACTTATACTGGACGCCATTGGCAGTGTATCCGGTCAAAAGGCCAGTACCAAATAAAATCTCATTCACAGTCTTTCCAGTGATGATGAACAGGTTTGAACGAGTCTTTACTGGATCATAGTACGCATTCTTTGCATGGCATCGTGTTTGTGACTTGGGCCATAATGCAGTGGGTATCCAAAAAGCACCGACAGCCTTGCCTGCCGCATGTTCCTTTGGTAACGGTACACCTTGGGCCTTGAATGCCGCCCAAACAGTCTTTGTGTCTTCGTATTCGAAGTTGGGGAAGGAAGCTTGGATAGGGCCGTTGGTTCCGTAGTAGTTAGCATCGTATGTGGTACCAAAGTTCTTGATATTATTGGCCGTGGGCGGAGTAAAGGTAGTCGACTTTTTGAAATAGGTCAAGAGGTTGTTGTAGTTCCAGCCAGTGTTGCCAAGTGCCTCCCACGCATTGTAGTCGGCAGCAGATGCACGATCAAACGCCATGCCATTAACTACTGAGCCGCCACCAACAACTTTGCCTACCCAGACGGGGTGTGTGCCCCCTGTGCCGACATCGTACTCGGATGTGATATCGTACATGAGCTGTTGATTGACACTGTTGGCGAAGGAGGGCACTCGGGTAGTGATGTCATCGGTCATGTAGCCATTTTCAATCACGAGCACGGTACCTGGAAAAGTTAGATGTGGATGACCATATTAAACGTTGCACCTACGGCTCGAATCTTCGCTCAGGCGGTTGGCTACTGTCAATCCGCTCAGTCCACCACCGACGATGATGTAGTCAAACGACTTTCCGGCAACGTTGACTTCATTGGCATTACTTCCAGTCACACTGTCGTAAATTACACGCGGGACAAAGGTGGAAAGATAGAAGATGCTCGAGAAGAGAGACGCCATGATGGTAGAGGAATCTCAAATGGCCAAGTGAATGGCGTAGAGAGGGGGAACCGACACTTTGTCCAGACCGTAAGCTAGGAGTCATGGGTAGCTTACCTATAGGTAGTTATATCATGGCCGGGTTTTGGTAGAGAACCGCCCCTGAGGATCTGGAGGAGCTGATGGGCTTGCCGCCAGGTGTCTCGCTTGCGAAATGATCATCATGGCTCAACTGCTGTCAGGCCCATGACCAGGACCTTGGGAGTGGCGTCAGGACCTAGGGCCATTAGCAACGGTACCTAGGTACAGTCCGAGCCATTGGCTAATAGTCGACCGAACCTGGCAACATATTCCCACAACGACTGAGGGCCGAGACTCGTCAACTGTCATGGTGTAGGTTTACCAATGCGGCCAAAGTGTGATGCATGCAGGGTGCATGAATATGGCGTGGATGGTCGCCTGGCTCCCGTCCGGAAACGCTCCGTGCGTGAAAATGACGTGCGCTGATTGACCGAGACATGACGGACATGACCTAGTGGATTGCGCACTTTTACAACAAGCTAGAATGGACGCGATGGCTGAGAAAAAGTTCATCGGGGGTCAGCGGAAGAGAACGTCAACGTGATCAAAGTTCAGAACGCAGGTGCGGCTGTGGAGCGAAACGAGAACGAAAATACACCATCAACCATTCTTCCTCTGCATCGCCACTTGTTTCTCTTCTCTCGTATGTTGGTTCTTGCTAGTTTGTATATTTTGACTTTTGGTGCTAACAGACTAGGTTTCCAAAAGAAATTTCGCCGTCTAGCCTATAGGTGGCGTCCGGGGACCAGCCCGATCCGTTCTCGCGTTCGTGTTCCGTGATGCGACCTGGGTCTCGTCGATCTCGACACTTTTGCTTACACCTTGTGGTACCCTATTCTGTTTACGGGATGAAGAACTCAAGAGTAGCAGCTTGAAAGTTGCACGTCAAACGTCCCGTTATACCAAATACGTCATGTCGAGGTAGAAGACGTGTGACAACCAAAACAAGGACCATTGATCGACAGAATGCTCAATCTACCTCAGGTTTTGACGCAGAAAAATCTCCACGGCAGTCGCAGCCTAGCATGGCCGTTTCGAGGCCAATGGCATTTGGCCTAGTCGCCCGACCAGACCAGCCTCCAACGCAGCGGCGCGAACCATCAACATATAGCCCACCCATTGACATATAGGTATCCAAGCCACAGCTGACAAAGTGACAGATTACCTGCTTGAAGCTACGGCAAAAAGATTACAACGGCTCGTTTAAGTCCATGCTGTGTATGCAAAGTTGGGCAGAGAAGTTTGGGAGACTATGACCCCAGATTTTGTTAGGGCAAGTCACCCGGTCTGAATCTAGAAATCTGGACCCTCTGTAAACTCTAAGACTCCTGAAAGAGTCCTGAACAAAACTACTAAATGGGATTTGGCATGTGCACAGCCTCGCCTCAGCTTTACCTTGTGTAAAGATTTGGAACCCACGCTGTCCCTCAAGACATACACAATGATTGCTAACGCTAGAGGGCGGGCCTTGAGGCTAGACAGGTAGCATAAGCCCCTCATGCATAGTTCGTTGCGTGCTCGCGGGATTGGCTGATTTCGACATCTCCGGCATCCAGCCTCTCCCATGGGCCCTGTCTGGATACCCATAACAGAGCAAATATAACTATAGGACCCGCCCGTGCAGTTCGTGCCGAGCTATCCGTGCAGCCTCATCTACCACTCAACTGCAGTATCTCGACTCGATCGTCTTTTCGTTTGTCTGTTCTCTATCATGGCTTCTCCTTCGGGCCCTCCACCCAATCTCCCTTTGGATGACCGCTCGCTTGAACTCAAGATCCCCATAATATCCCTTATCTGTTTCAGCTCCATATTCGTATGCCTTCGCCTCGGAGTAAACTGGAAAAACAAGAACTTTTTCATGCTCACTGATCATTTGCTATGGACGGGTTATGTAAGTAGACGCCTCAAGTCTTTTGGATGCATTGCTGATAGTATTCAGGTTCTTGCCGTTGCAGGTGCAGCTTGTTGTTACAAAATGGCAGAAGTCGGCGGTGGTAAACACGTCTGGGACCCCATCATGACGCCTCAGAATTTGGAAAAGTATCTCTACTTTCTCTGGCTGGGCCAGATATTGAACCTATACGGCATGGCTTTGATCAAGCTCAGTGTTTGCGCATATATTTTCATGCTCGACTTTTCAAGAAGCTTTCGGATCATCATCTGGGCCTCCGTGGTTATCCATCTGGGCATCAATTTCGTCTTTCCCACAGTCATCCTCTTTGGTGAATGCACACCATACTCGAAGCACTGGGACGTTACCAACACCAAGCCCGGCTCGTGCTGGGGCGCCAAACCTAGAGTCATTTCTGGGTACTCGGGAGCTGCGACCAACATCTTGACCGATATGCTCTACACAGTGGCTCCACTCATCTACATTGCACGAGTTCAACTCCCGAAGCGCACCATTTGGGGTGTCCGCGCGGTCTTTCTCTGTGGTCTCGTGTATGTCTATTCGATTCTTTTACTTTTCTCCACTAACACTCTTAGAACTACCACCGTCTCAGCACTCAAGCTTTACGAGATGAAGTCTTTGAATGTATCAAAGGACCCAACCTATGATTCCGTCAACCTCAGCATCTTTGCCATCTCCGAAGTGTTTGTCGGCGCCTTCACAGCCTCACTGCCACCGCTACGCAAGACGTTTGAAAACCTTCTCAAACAGGTCCTTCCCACGAGTCTTACAGGAGCCTCGCGTACACCAAAGGGATCCGTTGAAAGCTACGAGCTTCCCCACTCTGGTTCCAAGCTGAGCGACAAGCCGAGACGGCGAGGGGGTGATGTTGATGATGACGATAGTGAGCTCGGCATTCTTCCAGATGAGGAAGTGTTCCGGGAGCGAAAGGATTCAGACCAGTCCATTACAAAGACTACACATTTGAGCGTGACGGCGGACAGCAAGAGTATTGCATCGCGACGTCAAAGCGACTGGGTCTAATCAGTGGCTTTTCCCATATAAACCTTATCAATAATGACGCTTTGATACGGAATACTAGCTGCCTAACTCATCTCAATCGTGATAATATTCCTAAATAGAGATGATGCTAATTGTAGACTGGTATCTTGTACCCGAAAACAGGTTTGCGGGAAACATAGGCACGTGGAAAGAGGATGATCAACACAGGCTGGGAAATGCGAACACGTCCGTGATCTGCACCAGGGTCTGTTACCCTGACCCTCCACAAGTAGCGTAGCCGAGGTACACCCGACCTTGACCCCAACCTCAAACCAGTGACACGACATCTTCACCTCAACATGGAAAAGCCATTCATCCCATATCGTATCAACCTTTCATTTCGCGGCTTCGCCGAGGGTCTCACCTATCTCAGCAGTGACAGCCAGCCACTATGCCACTACTTTGGCGGGGTCCCGTATGCCCTTCCGCCCGTCGGACCCCTTCGTTTTCAGAAACCGCAGCCACTGCCACCATGCCATCGCTACGGAAGTAAAGCTCATCCAGGACGCTATACGCGCGGCTGCGGATTCTGTCCGCAGCCAGGGTCCAGTGCCGAGACACTGGATCAAGGCTCGTGGGACGAAGATTGTTTACAGTCAAACATTTGGGTTCCCGCTGGGGATGCACCAGCCCAAGGTAACAATCGGCTCTCCTATATAAGCGAGCCTCAAGCCACATTTCTGACTCGGACTACTAGGCTGGCCAGTGCTATTCTGGATCCGTAAGTGAACTTGTCTTTGCCCAAGCTCGGTTGTTTAGTGCCTGGCACCGTCGTTTCGCGGCAACGTGACCGCTCAACTCCGGCCGAACAAGTGCCTTGCGTGATGACTGACTCCTAGTAGATGGCGGGTTCCTGCAATGGGGTAGCCCAAACGGCAGCGACCTCCGAGCGCTATTGAGCGAGTCCCCAACTAAATGCGTCGTCGTCGCTCCCGCATATCGGCTAAACGTGTTTGGTTTCCTCGCCAGCAGGCAACTCGTCGATTCGTGTCGAGATTTCGACGTCAATCTCGGCTTTTGGGACCAGCGCGCAGCACTTGAGTGGACGCACCAAAACATTAGCTACTTTGGTGGCGATGCGAGTAACATTTCTCTCGGTGGATACTCTGCCGGTTCACACTCGGTTTTTCACCAGCTATCGTACGATCTCGGGCTGCCCGATCGCAAGGCCATTGTCAAGAGGGCACTGATGTTATCGAATGGGCCAGGCTTACAGCCCAAGAGTTTTGACGAGGCCCAAGACCAGCTCGATCAACTATTACAAGCTTTGCATATCGATTCGAGCTTGTTGCCAGCTGAAAAACTCGCCAAGCTACGGGCCTGCTCCCCGCGAGAGATCGTTGAGGCCAGTAACAAAATTCAGCTCCATCAGTTCCGAGCTGTCACGGATGGGTCGTTTGTACGCCATTCTTTACTTGAGGAACTATCAAATGGTGTGTATGCCGAGCGTATGAAGCGCCGTAACCTACACCTCATTATTGGCGAGTGCAGCGACGAACATCACGTCTATGGGCTGTGGCGACCTCCGCAGCCAGGCTACCAAAACATGCTCTCTCGGCTTCAAGCCGACTATCCCCGCAAAGCATGTCAGGTTCTCATGACACATTACTTTCCAGATGGTAATTTGCCAAGCAAGTACGAGAGCTGGCAAGCAGTCTTTGGGCACATTTACGCCGACGTCCAGATTCACACTCTCGAGCGAGGCATGCTCAACGCGCTTGTTCAGCATGGCGCTGGTCATCTAATCCACAGGTACCGCATAGAGTGGCGCGCAAAGTGTGTAGACAAGGACTTGCCAACTCACTTTGGTGCATCACATGGCTCCGACATGGCCATTTGGTTCTGGGGCGCATTGTCAGACGACGAAAAGAAGGTTGCACAAGAAGCCTTTCATGAACCACTAAGCAGGTTTTTGAGAGGAGACGAGCTTGGCTGGGGCACGCAGCATGCGCTACAGCTGAGAACTTTAAAGAGTAACGGACGTGTAGTCATCGAAGAGGATACACGCCTGGATGATGCTTTGGTCCTCTGGGACGCACTGAAGAAAGTTGGTGCGACAGGCGACCCCAAGGAATCCGCAAAATTGTGAAATGTACATGTTTTTGGAAAGGCTTGCACAAACATAGTGCCTCTATCTGATCCTTTTATGACTAGTTTTTTGAACCACAAGGGCAGCAGCGTCCAACACATGCGTCATCTTTCTTGGAATTTGGAACGCTCAACACATTATAACGATCTTCTTCGTTTTTGCAAAACCGCCATCGGAAAGCTCTTGTTTTATTTTGACACGTCTTAATCATACCCCGACAACAATCCCTGCAGAATTTAAGATGGACAGCGGGGAAACAACGCCCAAACATAGGCTCTTAGTAATAGCTTTTTGCAACAGAGTCATGCCGTCCTCTTCCATGCTTTTTGGATACTTTTGACGGTAGGATAATAGAGATAAAAACCCGACACACCGTGGGAAAACCCCCTATTTATACCCCCAACAACAACCCCTGAAAATTTCGAATTAGAGCGCGGAAACAACGCCCAACAGATAGGCGCTTTGTACACGATTTTTACAGAAGAGTCGTAATGTTCTCCGCCACCTTTTTTTGATACTTTTGACTGTAGGATAGAATAGAATGGTAAATTCAACACCGACGGGAAAGTCCCTATGTATAACCCCATCAAAAGCCCCTGCAAATTTCGAATTGGGGGTGCGGAAACAACGACCAGCACATGAACGTTTTTGGAGTCCACTTTTACAAAAGAGTCGTCACGTCGTTTTCTGACATTCTATTTGATACTTTTGACTGTAAGATATAATAGAATGGAAAGTGACACCGCGGGAATGGCCCTCATTTATACCCCCAGCAACCCCTGCAAATATCAGATTGAGATCGCGGGAAAATGGCCCAACACATGTAAATCCTTGTTAAGAACTTTTACAACAGAGTCATAAAGTCGTTTTCGGTTTATTTTGTTGACACGCTTGAAGGTACAATAGAGTGGAATGGAAACTCCTACGGGAAAAGTCCCTTTTTATACCTCTGATGGCAAACACTGCACTTGGCAATCTGACTAATATCTTCATGTAATAATAAGGGATAATAGTGGAAGTAGAAGTCTCAGTCGTCTTTATAGCCGGCAGACTAGCCGGTTTTTCTAAGAAGAAGGGAGGAGAGAGAAAGAGCACATGTTGACTAGTAATAGTAACATGGTTGGCAAGCGAGCGGCCCACGCAAGCGAGCGGCCCACCCCACCAACTTTCTGCGCCTTGTAAACTCCTCCCTATTATGGCTCCCCCAATTCAAGCCCTACAAACCTCTTCTGAGGTTAATATACACCTTGCAATCTCAGCTATCAATAGAAGCCAAATTCAGTCTATAAGAGATGCTGCGCAGACATTTGAAGTCCCCCGAACGACGCTCCGACGCCGACGCGCTGGTAAGCCTGCGCGCGCAGATTGCCAGCCCAACTCAAGGAAGCTTACCCAGAGAGAAGAGGAGGTGATTATCAGCCATATACTTCAGCTAGATTAGCGTGGATTTGCGCCTACCTACGCAGCTATACGTGATATGGCTGATAAGCTGCTAGCTGCGCGCGGCACTGGCCAGGTTGGGCAGAAGTGGCCAGCCAACTTTGTCAAGCGTACAGACAGTCTTCGGACGTGTTTTAACTAAGCGTACGATAGGCAGAGAGCTCTATGTGAGGATCCAGCCCTAATTAGGACCTGGTTTAAGCTTGTAGAGGAGACAAAAGCCAAGTACGGCATCTGCGATAAGGACGTCTACAACTTTGATAAAGCTGGCTTTATAATGGGCAAGATTACAACGCAGCTAGTTATAACAGGAGCAGAAAGGAGAGGTAGGCCGAAGACTCTTCAGCTAGGCAATCGCGAGTGGGTAACGCTGATCGCTGCTATCAGCGCTGCTGGCTGGTTAGTCCCACCGTTCCTCATCTTCGCTGGCCAGTACTACCTATCAGCCTGGTACGAGGAAGCTGAGATCCCACGCGACTAGGCGATCGCAGTCAGCGACAATGGCTGGACGAATAATGAGCTTGGAGTTGAGTGGCTAAAGCACTTTAACGCTCACACGCAGGCTCGTAGCATAGGCGCGCGTCGCCTGCTTATTGTTGATGGCCATAAGAGCCACTAATCTCTAGCGTTCCAGGAGCTCTGCAAAGAGAACAACATCTACACGCTCTGTATGCCACCTCACTCATCCCACCTACTCCAGCCGCTTGATGTTGGCTGCTTCTCGCCATTAAAGCGCGCGTACAGCCGTGAGGTGGAGAGCCTCATGCGCAACCACATCAACCACATCACCAAGCTAGAGTTTCTGCCAGCATTTAAGATAGCATTCAATCGCGCCTTCACGCCAGCCAACATCTGCTCAGCCTTCCGCGGCGCAGGCCTTGTTCCTCTACAACTAGAGGCTGTTCTATCAAAGGTAGATGTACAGCTGCGTACACCTACTCCTCCAGCAGCTCTACCAGAGGCTCCCTGGGTAGCTCAAACGCCGAGCAACGCGCGTGAGCTTGAGGCTCAGTCAAGCCTCATACGTGAGCGCGTGCGCCAGCACAAAAGCTCATCACCAGCTTCAATTATTATAGCAATTGACCAGCTAAAGAAAGGCGCTGAGGTGATAATGCTCTCTTCTAAGCTAATGCGGGATCAGATCTCTAGTCTTGAGAAAGCCAACAGCGCAGCGTCAGCGCGTAGGCGGCGCTCTAAAAAGCATATACAGAAGCATGGAGTACTTACAAAAGGAGCTGGAGAGGATATACTGGCTCAAAATAAGGCTGACCAGCAGATTGCTCATGAAGAGCGTCAAGGAGGAGCACGATCAGGCGTCAGCCAGCGGGCTCAAAGGCGCTGCACCAGGTGCAAGGAGACTGGGCACAACTCACGCACATGCAACACTAATACTATTAATATAGAGTAATCTACTGTATTACTATCTAGCAATAATATTATCGCGTTGTTGAGATGTATCGCTTTGAAGTTGCAAAAGTTGGTGGGGTGGGCCGCTCGCTTGCCAACCATGTTAGTCTTTTCGCAAAGAAACATGATGGTGTATCTTTGCGGTTTTTTCTAACTCGATAAGGTACTGCATTCGCGTTTTTAGAAAGGAGGGGGGAGAAGGAACACGCATGCCTGCGTTGTGTAGGTAGTTTCAGGAAATGAGAATATATGTGCGGGATGAAAGGATTTTATCACCTCGACGAAATCTCTTGGGGTATTTTTCAAGTAGACGGAAAAGGAGCGGGACAGACATGCACAGTATATTTTACATTTTCTATCGTCTCCATGAATGGCTGTAGCCTATGTTTGAGTAAAGAGAAAGAGAAGTAATATGAAGTGCGGGTATATTTAACATCTCCATATTATGGTCGGAATCATGTTTTAATTAAGAAAAAGAGAGAGAAGCAGACATTCTTGAACAGGGACTTGCTTTTAAGAAAGGAGGACCTACTTGTTGATACGGCTAAGGTATCGGAATCACCTTCGTTGCAACGAGTTGAAATGATTGTGATTGTTCTTGTTGTTCTATGGAGGTGGAGGGAGGTCGGCAGTAAGGCTGCAGCTAGAGCTCGGACCACACGGCTTAGTCAGCCGTGTAATCCAAGCTCGTGCATGCAGCAACCAGCTGCCTTATCTACCGCAGGTTCGATTCCCAACACTACTCAATGTCTCAAAGCTCGAAATTGTTTTTGTTTCTTAAGTAGAGAGAGGAAAGAAACGAACAGACATCGTACAATTCCCACATGATTTTTAGGAAGAGAAGATGTGTAATCTTAGATTCTGTTTTTAAAGAGCTCAATGCTCTCTGATACTTGGACTTTTTAGAAAGAACGCATAGGAAGAAACAAACAGCCCGGGTATATAGTGTGATTTTAGGAAGGAGCAGCTACCCTGTTTTTAATGCTACTAGAGTTTTCAAGTACACAGAAAGAGGAAGAGGAAGAGGACGGACTATACATCTTATCCCATTAGTTGTCGTTTTAGAAAGGAGCAGTCAGCTACTCATAAGCCAAATGACTGTATTTTTTTTCAACCTGCAGTTCAGTGCGCCTGCTCGCGTGACCTCGATCCGTGCGGCCGATCGCGTGGCTGAGATATCGTTGATATTCGTGATCCGACACATACCAATATAGATGCAGGCTTTTGGAAACAATGATTTTCAAGTGTGAGATTAGAAACCAGGAGCTGCAGACCCGAAAGAGGGTTTATATGCACACTGGCCATCTCATCTTCACCAAATCTTGGCATAGTGGCTGCGGTATGTGAAGTTGGATGCCGTGAGGGGGCCGCCATGCACAACAACGGAATAATTCCGCTCATGCTTTCCGTCTGTCAAACACGACATCGCAAGTCACCACACACTTCATTGTAACGATATATGGTTACAGTTCAGTAGAGAAATAAACTAAAGTTTCTTCCTGTTTCAATGGAATCAGAGTGTTATCTCAGTCGATATGAAACAAATTGTAAAAAAGAAAATGGGTATCGCAGAAGCCTTTTCATCCATATCCACCATATACAACAACAGCAATGACAACAATCCACAGTCTGTCCCTCTCCTCCTCCTCACCATCTGTGTGTATCCAGAAAGCCAAAAGAACAGTCTTCAACCTTCAATCCTCACAACAAAAGAACAAATACTACAAAGGAAATTCGGGGTATACATAATCTTATCGTAAAGCGCTCATTCTGTGATTGAGCAAAAGTAAAGTAAAAATTTCACCGATCCTCAAACCAATCACGGCAAATCACCATATGTCTTCTTGCGACTCCAAAACTTGCGGCTCTTCTTCTCCTCTTCCTTCTTAACCGGCGCGCGCGACACAGGCGGCTCAGGTGGAGCCGAGTTTTTGAAAAAGTCGGCTAGGTCGCTGGTAGCGGCACGGGAGCTCACGGTCGCTGCGTCTGCGACGGCCGGGGCCCGGGCTTGTAACCGGGGCTTATAGGCGCGAGGGGCGTCCGAGGCAATAGAGGCCGTTGAGCCTGTCTTGGGTGGTGGTACACCATTGCCGTTGCGCGTGGAATTTGCGCGTGCTCGTGCGGCCGCAATGGTTTCTTCGCTGAGGACAAAGGGCTGAGGTTTGGTATTTGATGGGGGCTCCATGTCATTGAGAAAGTCCATGAAACTTTCCTGCTTTGGTTGTGTTTGCCTAGACCCTTGGGGTTGGCTGGGCGATGGGAGGGCAGTCAACTGATCTTCGTCCTCTTCGTCGTCTTCTTCTTCGTCGGAAATGTCAATGGCATACGGGTCCTTGACGCGTCGACGAGTCTTGGTAACGTGCGGTTCGTTGCCTGGGGCAGACATGCTTCCACTGAGTTGTTGTGGAGTGTTGGAATAGGCCGGCTGCACAACACTGGGAGATGGGATAAGACCAGTTCGCGAGTTGATTGTCTGGGTACTGTCTTTACTTTCCAAAGTAGAGGCAGCAGAACCATATGCAGACTCGACGTTGCCATGGCCACCAAGCATACTATCGAATTGGTCGGAATCTACCGTGGTGCGAAAGGGCGCAATGTTTTTTGGTATCCTAGGTTGACCTTTGTGAGCATCCGGTGGGCCTTGGCGAATAAAGTCAATCAAGTCACCATTGCCACTAGAAAGACCTGCTGGACTGCGTGGTTCCATGCTAGGGCGTGGCCTATGAGACGCGCCATGTGCACCGCCGGGACCGGGTTGCCTCGTTGATAGTTTGCGTCCCAACGACGATGTTGATGCACTGGCAGATCTGGAGCCGTTACCGCTAATGTTGACAAAAGGCCGCACGGGCTGTTCTTGTCCTGGAGAAGGGCCGGTAGATCGTATAAAGTCAGCAAAGTCACGCATTGACTCCGATTCGATTTTTGGATCCCTTGCTAGCGGTCGTGTCACTACTTTCCGGCTTGGAGAGGGCTTGTGGTTGGAAGCTGTAGGCCCCTTGCGAGCCGTCGACGTGTTTGGTAGATTTGCAGTGCCAAAGGACGCATCGTCAGCATTGACCCGAGGGTACACGGTAACTGAAGACTTTGAAGGTCTGCGAGCAATGCCTTTTTTCTGCACGGGTTCCTGACTCGTAAGCAAAAGTAAACAACTGGGAAACAAAAACACTTACATCCAAGTCTCGCATGCTCTGCGGGGTCAAGGTAAACTTCACCGTGTCCTTGCCCTTGACTAGAGAGTCAAACTCTCGCGCCCGATCTTCTTCGGACATGCGGCCACTGAGTCCACGCGAACGGTGGCTGGATACAGACTCACGCCCGCTGGAAACAGGAATGGCACCCAGCCTACGCACAGATGAAGAAGTCGACGGGTGGCGTCCCAATGAAGTATTGTCAGAGGAAGACCTTTCACGCGTCGATTCTTCCGTAGACACGCGGTGTAATCGTTTATCCTGCAAAAGTACATCTTGACCAAGAGTAGTGGGGCTACGCTTGGGACTGTCAGTATGGATGCTGCGGGCATTAGTGTGTGTAGAAGCAGTCTTTTCCTTGCGTGATGATGGTGGACTACTGTCCACTTCCTGCAGAGCAGGCAACGACGAGCCTCGCGACACACTGCGAGATACGTCAGGTCGCCGCGGTGAGATGATGGCACCCATTTCTAGAGATAAGTTGGCCGCAACTTCTTTGCGTACCATACTCCGGTCGGGCACAATGGGCCTACCGTGCCTGCCATCAGGCGGTGGGGTACTAGCATGAGCAAGTGACTTTGGTGTAAAGCTTCGCGGCTGCACTTCTACATAACCTCCACTCCTGGAACGTTCGTGGGGCGATTCTTGTGGTGTGGTCGATGCTGATTGTATGACGCTATCCGATGTTTTGGCAATACCAATGGCGGCGGGCTCCTCGTCATCTGAGACGCCCATGTCTAGGTACGAAGTTGGGTCATTGTGTACAGTCGGCCTTGGTGTTGTTCCAGGCGTAGAGTGTGGAGACTTTGGGCCATTACTGCGATTACTGCGCGTTGAAAAGGTACGCACCAAGCCAGGAGGACCAGGTCTCTCAATGGACATGCGCTTTGAGCGCATAACCTTGACCTCGCTCTGAGGACTGCCATTGTCCTGTTTGTCAGCCTCGTCGGATGTCACTGGGTCGTCCGTATTCATTCCAAAACCCATGCCTGTAGTCGCCGCAAAGGCTACCATGGAAGGATCCGGGGAAAACTCGGCTTGGGTCGGCTCTGGCTGCTCATTTCGTATCGAAACTGTCTCGGTAGAATTGTTGCTTAGTCGCCCCGAGCCGCTGTCATCACTGCCGTGCAGCTTGTCCGAAGCTTCAATATGTTTGGCGGTGTGTTCGGAAGTCTCGGTATGACCGTTGGCGGGTTTGTCGGGCTGGTTAACTTTTTGGTCCTCGGCAGCTTGCTCGGGTACGGAGAACTGTGGTATTGAAGGCAGCGGTGTAGACGTGGGACGCTTCCTTTGGGCTTTCTTGAAAGACTCCACTGGAGACAACACCAAGACGCTCATTGGTCGCGGCGTCCACGATATTGGTGTCGACGCGCTCGAGTTCTCACTCTCGTCCTCAAACGTCGGTGCCAGGCCAGGTACTTCGATTTCGTCCACGTCGCGCTCGCGAATCGGAAGGGGTATGTTTGCCGCAATATCGGTTTCTGTCGGAGGGTGCTCGGGCAGCGGTTCGGGGTCGCTGTGCAGTGTGTTTATTGTGTCGCGGCTGGCTCTGTGACGAAGGAGGCTTGAGTAGCTCGAAGAGGCGCGTACACCTCGTCCGGGAGACATGGGCGATAGGGGAGATCGGACACGTTTTCTCCATGTCCTCCAGAGCCTGCCCAGTGTCGAATTCAGCGCAATCTTCTCCACATCGGGCTCCTCGATGATGAGGCGTTCAATGGCGATGGGTTGATCTTCCGTCGCCAGTTTCTTCATCCTAGACGCCATACGAGCGAGCGCTGCCGAACCCGAAACGAGCAGCAGTTGCTCAGCAACATATTCGACGACTGAAGTCAGAAAAATGGCCGAAGACCAGGATACTAGGCCAGCCTCTTCATCTTCGTCGTCATCCATGCTGAGCCCGCGCTCCTGCTGGACGAACCTCTCTTCGTCCTCGTCCTCGAATTCACCCAGTCGCGTGTAGACCATGATGCGTAGGCGGGTACGTTTCCACATCTTCTCCACGTCCCACGAGCCCATGGTCTTGTGTTCTTGTGTAATTGCGTCATCGTCATCTTCACCGGCCAACAGACCCTCGAGCTCCTCATCGGCGGCCTCCATGGCCTCGCGGGCCAGTCGCGGCTTGAGCACATCGGATATGGCGGGTCGGATTGCGGCGAGCGATGGCGATCGCGCCGATGTCAAAAATGCAAAGAGGAGGTGGTCGAGAAAGGCATTCAAGAGGGCCAGAGCGGGTTCGGAGAAGATTGCATTTTGCAGCTCGTCGGCGTCCACGTCCTCTTCGCGCATCTGCGCATTGTGATGATCGGTAACCGTCTGCGAGGCGACCGAGGCGGCGATATAGGCGGGTGACGGGCGAACAGTCGTGGGCATCTGGAATCCAAGGGAGCTGGCGAGCGAGGGCGCCTTGTCGCTGCTGAAGCTCGCGCTTCGACACGGACGTGGTGACGGCATGGCGGCCGTCTCGGAGTATGTGTGTCTATGCATTGAAGATGAAATGTGAAGAAACGTGCGGAGTGTAGGCAAAGACTATGTTTCTGCGGGTAATATCGCGGCGCGCCCGTAGCGGTTGTCGCACTGCGACCTGTAGCTGAAGCAACAGTACAAGGAAAAAAGGGCAACGAGCGGTGATGGTCAAGAGGCGTGCAAACGGCCAAGGAGTGACTATAGCTTGCTAAAAGGAAAAATAGGCCGTCAATGGCACATGATGGTACGCAATCTTTCCAGGCCAGAAGGGATGGCTCAAGGACAAGACGGGATGTGAGACGAGAGATTGAACGAGTGTCATATCATCGGGGGTATTGTCTGATGAGAAGACATCCCAGACGACGATCAATCGACCCTGGTGTTCGCTAGGCTCAAGACATGCTGGCCGCTTTCGTACGGAACACGCAATGCGAATATCGTGTAGCCTTGACCCTGATTCATGGGAACAACGATAATAAAGGCCACACGTCGCCGCGAGCTTTGTATCGCGTTTTGCTGGTACTACAAGTGGCACGCCGCCTGTGACACTACCGACTGCTGCCGTCTGCTTGATCCAATGTGCATGCCTGGAACCACGGCCGAACCATCACGTGGCCGCCTGTACAATTCGCTGCTCCGTGCATATATAGTCTCGTCAAAACCTAGCACTAGTATAATCCGCCAGGTTATCTTTTCTATCGCAAACGAGGACATGTCAGGAAGAAAACCCATGTTTCCAAGCATTTGCAAGTACAGCCGTTGGACTGTGTCAAACCAGCGTACAGGTGCACATGTGGAGTCGTCGCACCATGAAACCGACGCCTGGCCCGACTGCTTTCATTCCCGGCACCCGCACCTATCCACTGCCCTGACCACGTTTGATCCCGATTTCTGTCTGCATGGCGAGACGCATATTCGTGATCGCGTACGAGAATTGGCCGACTTTCTTTTTTGCAAATATGATCTTCCGGATGATCTGTTCCGGTGCGGTGGTCGTGCAGCGTCGTCGGCCCAGACAAGTCAGTTTGCACTCTTGAAGGTTTTCGCTAATCTCAGGGGAAACCTCGCATTGTCGTGTCAACCGCTGCTACTCGTCCTGAACCCACTGCCAGGTAATCAGAATGCCGTGTATTTGCTTTTCCCACCGTGACATGTGTACGGCACGGTCCGTACAAGGGTGCTCACACACGTCTTTACATGAAACAATGGAGCGGCATAGCGAAGCCTAGCCAAGGGCCAGTAATGTGATTACCTACACATGATCGGGTTGCTCGTGCCTGGATTCGTACAGACGATAGCGTATTCACAAGTTGTGTATGTACCTAGGTTTGGTGCCGAGGCTTTTGTGCCGTGCATTTCAGGCATCCACAATTGTTCACTTCGATGACATGTGATGCTCGCTCTCGTAGATTCGTCAACACTACAACTGGCATTTCCAATGTCGATGCTGGATAGTTTGCCTAGAAAGGCCATGTCACAAGGTGCAAAGGAAAGAGCAACCCAGTTGCTGTTACCTCATGGCAGCCTGCTATTGGTCGAAAACACCGTGCCAAGACATATCCCCTCATCTTTCTTGAACATCTTGACAACTACACGACACTTGAATCAAACACTACCCTTTCCACTGTTGTCTTCTTCGTTGCCTCCAGCTCGACGTGTTGTTTCTCGTCGTCCTGTTTCATTCTTGTTTTGTCTTGGCGGCAATGGCACACAATGACAAGACGGTGCCACTCGTATCGATGCAATCGTAAAAACCCCAATCGAACCGGACCTCCTTCGACGATTCCCAGGACTTTTTTCTATTGAATCAGCCGTTAAAGAACTTGGAGCACTTTCAGACCATGCCGAATCTTCCGACTATGCCATGACGGCACCACCCTAACGATTCCCTACCAACGATGCCAGGTTCAGTCGATGGGCCTTATACGTCGGCCATTTTGTGTTGTAGTGTCTCTTGCAGCCTTGCTCTCTGAAAGGCGACGACATGAGACAAGGGTCGACATGTTCCCCCATGAGCTAGGCGGTACTTGCAGATACAGCACGCTTCGTTGCTGCTGACTGATCCCATGTCTTGGATATGCATGCATGCAATGGCATGACCGTTGGCGAATCGACATCTGCAGCAAGGTTCGCCTACAAACTGGTCGCGGCCCCAATGAGAACAAGGCCGATGGTAGACGTGTTCGACCCAGCACATGTACGCGATCTGGCTCGGCGTGTCTGGTTGTTGCTGTCTTGATCTGGTCGAACTGGAACCAAGGGACGACTAAGTTTTTGTAGGGACTCATACCACGGCCATTTGCAAACATGCAAACACACCTCACACAAGGACCAAAACATTTACCATGTCTCCTACAATCCGTTTGTGGCTTGCTCTTTTGTCTCTATAACCACAGGCGCTTGGCGTACATGCTGGTAGAGGCACGTCTCTTTCTACATCTCCACGTCCCCCATGCCAAGGCGACCCTGTACGAGCTGAGAAGCGGACGGATTCTGATCGATCCCACTGGAACAATTGACGAGACTGGTCTTATGTTTCCTTCTCTCATCTCTTCTGGGTCTTTGTGTTTTGGAGGCGTCGACCCATGTCGGAAATCTAGTGCGACGACTGCTGCCCCCGGATGAGTAATGGCAAGGACCAGATTCGACGCCAGGCCTCGCAAACCCCACGCGGATGATAGCTGCCCAACCACCACAGCTTCAACCGCTACGTGGTCATACGAAAAAAAATGAAGATTTGATCACGGTCATGTCAAACGTAACGAGGCCGACGTCCGCAGGACACTCAACTCAACGAGTACCACCACCACCCCAAGTCTACCCCAGAAATATCATGCGTCATGCAACTGGCGCCATCTGCAAGCGTCTAGCTGCCCCGAAGGTCGGACTTGCCCGTAACGGTCCCCGTTCTATTCTGAGCGATTCGCTGAGAGTAGCTTTTTGCCTCCTGCAGGTACACCCGCTGGAGGCACCCCACCAGAAGCACCTGTGGCTGCAAGTCATATCTTGCACCGGTCCGAACGAAGGGGCCGTGCAGAATGGGTGCCTGCGATTGCATAACGAGCATGGCGGTCGATGGATCAGTGCCACTGCCTGGAGCGGTGTTGTTGCGTCATGACGGAACCCTGAGGGACAGGTAAGACGAATCTACATCTGGGACCTCGATCGGATAACGTAGCTACCGTGGATTGGCTTGATTCCAGGCATGGTGTTGCATTTCCCATCAGTGTAGGCTGCGCGTCTGGTGGCGGCCCAGCACCACCCGACCTATCGGATAAGCCTGGCGCGAACCATTTGGACGTGTCTTGCGCTCGATCAGCAGCGAGCCATGATCTGGGGAAAATATAAGCCTTCTGATATCCCTCCCAACACATGGGACGGACCTCTAGCCTTATCAACGCTGACCTAGTACGCCACACGCACGGTTCCGATTCTCCACGCGACTGTCAGACTATTTCAAACATGTTACAATGTCTTGTTGAACATTTCTGACAGCAAGATATTGTCGCGGTGAAAATGGGGGAGGGGGGAACATGGCGACGCTGTCGCGACACGGGTTCAGTGGCCGGCGGCGTTACTCGATTGAGAAACGTAACATCGGGACGTGGATTTTCCCCTTATCTTTGGTGGGCGGGCTTGCGGGCTTGGCAGATCGACGACAGGCCCGCAACCCCGCTAAGCCCAACGTTCACGCGCGATTATGTTTTGCCGATATGTTGATGCGGCTTTTTCTAGCAAGCCAGGCACGGCTATTTTATTTCTTCTACATGCTACATTCAGCCCGGCCGTGGGGTTTCGGTGCGAGAGACTCTGGGCAATACTGGCCATTACAAACCGCATTGACGGCCATTCGTGCGATTCCAAACAGTCAACGTTTGCTTTTGGGCGTGCAGAAACTGTGGGGTTGACATGCAACTCGTGCAGTCCGTGCCTGGACGGCGGTGCTTGGAAGCCCATGCTGCACCCAAGACTCGTCATGGTGTCCTTCTGGAACAAACGCACGTCCTCGACCCAGAGAGCAAGTCGGAGGCCCCGTGCCGGATAGTCAAGGTCCCTTGAGTAAATAGTATCATACTGTGGGAACGTGTCGTGGGAATAGTTGCAAAAAAGTTGAAAATGATGTTGTTATGACGAGAGCGTCTAATGGGAATACGGCCATTGGCTGCAAGCGTGCTTATCGCCCCCCCAACATCAACCCGGGGCTGCGGCGCCATGCCCCCCAAGACGGCGGCCGTATGCAGGGTGTTGGACGAGGTTGTACACAGTCAGCTTAGGGACCCCCGGGACTGTCGCAGTCGCACTCGTATTGAGGCATAAAGTTGACGATACGACGGCGGTCAGTAGTCTCTGAGACGGTGTGGGGCAGCGGTGTGTGCAATAGTAAGAGATTCCCTGGGTCAGGGTGAATAGCATGACCAATTTGGTACTACGTACTCTGGCGCGGGTAAATTTAGCTACAATATGGCGACGGTATCCAGCGTGGCTGCGGTCAAAGTCGGGAGGCCATGAGGCTGTGCGTCTGGGGCGCCGCGCCAAACCGAACCGGTACGTGCGCTCCTTTGTTCCTGGACAACACCCGGCCAGCATTGAGGGCAACGACATTTGGAGACGACAAGGGAAACGCGTAACATCAGCAACCCGCCAGCATCCAGCATACGGACAGGTAAGCCGTACGTGTCGTGGACTTGCGGGAAAAAGGCTTTAGCGGGGGCTAATTACTGGGGGTGCGCGGCGGAGGGAAAAAGTCGCGCGTTTAGAGCAGCCATTGCTTCGTCCATCCCACGGATGCAGTTCGGCGACGGCTCTTGGCTACGGCTAGCCCAACGATTATCTGACCACGGCTAGCCCCGCTACAGGCCGAGACAGTCAAGTCATTCCACGACACTTACCTTATAATCAAACCCCCAGCCCGCTGTCCTTATCTTCTTCCCCATCACATCTCCCCACTTCAAACAATCACCCCTCCATAAAACCGTCCTCGTCGACGTGAACTTGCTTCTCTTCTTTACCACCACATCACTACCATCAGCATCGTCACGTATACCATCCGCAATCATGGTACGTGTCTTGATCTTTTCAATACACATGTCTTTTGCTAACAAGTCATAGGCAAACTCGACAATCGTCTCCAATGCCGCCAACGTATGCTGCTCCTGCTCGTGTACCATCACAACCACCCATGCTAATTTCCGCAACAGCTCAAGAAGTACCTTGACTTGCCCCAGAAGGGCTCAGTCATGGCCGAGTATGTCTGGATAGACGGCTCCAACGGCATTCGCTCAAAATCAAAGGTCAGTTTTTTGTACTTATCCAGTCTTCCCCCACTCGAGGCAGTCTGTGGTTGCGATACACATTTCCAGGGTACGGGAGCCGCGATGGGCCAAGTCTGCGCGTATGACGTAAACTGGGCCAATCGCTCCTTCTGCACAGATTCCTGGCGTTCCTTATCGCAACCCCACGATAAGCCACCGATTGCAGACGGCAGGACCTGCATGAGGTCTGCCGTATAACCCCTCCTTTGCCTCGATCACTGCGTCACACACGATCGCCAAACAGCCGCTGACCTAATGTAGACTTTGAAGAAGAAGGTTGAGAGCCTCGACGACCTCCCAGAATGGAACTTTGACGGTTCGTCAACTGGTCAGGCGCCCGGTGACAACTCGGACGTCTACCTCCGCCCCGTCGCATACTACCCCGACCCGTTCCGTCTAGGTGACAATGTTCTGGTCATGTGCGAGACGTACATGTCCGACGGCTCACCCAACGCCTACAACTTCCGCCACGACGCCGCCATCATCTTTGAGAAGCACAAGGAGCACGGCTTCTGGTTCGGTCTCGAGCAAGAGTACACTCTTCTCGACGAGTTTGGCTGGCCATATGGCTGGCCCAAGAACGGCTTCCCCGCTCCTCAGGGCCCATACTACTGCGGTGTCGGTACCGGCAAGGTCTTTTGCCGTGACATCGTAGAGGCTCACTACAAGGCGTGCATGTACGCCGAGATTGCCATTTCCGGTACAAATGCCGAGGTTATGCCCGCTCAGTGGGAATACCAGGTCGGCCCTTGCCCCGGCATTGACCTTGGTGACCAGCTCTGGATGTCGCGATTCCTCCTACACCGCGTTGCCGAGGAGTTTGGTGCCAAGGTTACCTTTGCGCCCAAGCCCATCCCTGGTGACTGGAACGGTGCCGGTCTCCACACCAACGTCTCCACCACCGAGACTCGTGGCGACAACGGCATGAAGGCCATTGAGGCCGCCATGGAGAAGCTGTCCAAGCGCCAGGCTGAGCACATGGCCGTCTACGGCTCAGACAACCAGCTCCGCATGACTGGCAAGCACGAGACTGCCTCGTATGACAAGTTCACCTGGGGTGTCGCCAACCGTGGCTCCTCCGTCCGTATTCCCCGCGCCGTCGCCGCCGAGGGCAAGGGATACTTCGAGGACCGCCGTCCCGCCTCCAACGGTGACCCATACCAGATCACTGGCATAATCGCCGAGACCATGTACGGCAAGGTCGAGGGTGCCGACGTTGCCAGGTTTGCCAAGCAGGCCGAAACTGTCGAAACCGAGATGGTCATTGACATTCACAAGCCATAGATGGGTATTCTGTTTTGCTCCTCTTCTTCATACCCCCTTTTTGTGCATAGACCGTGTTGGATTACGTGGCCGCTCTTGTAAAATGGTTGGCTTCGGTATAGTTCGGTAGTTATTTTCTTCGTTTGAGTTTTACATGGCCTGATATGACGAGACGGTAATGGCATGGGCAATGAACTACATACACTGATACTATTTTTTGTTGTTGATGCGTGATGTGTTTTGATGTCAATTAGATGAGATGGTGAAGAAAAAGATGATACGTGTTTAATTCTCGAGAGAAGTTTGGCTGGTAGATGTGGTCGAATGCCAAGATACAGAAGTTCCGGTGTTGCATCTTTCAATACAAGTCATGTTTGAGATGTCATCAAGTATATGCAGGAAGATGAGTGAATACATGTACTGTGTAATACCGAGTATAATGTACAGGGGTAGTAGATAGTACCTTGACTGCCTACTTATATTGTTGTTACAACAAAACTGTGTTGTGAACATCTGCTACTAAGCATCGACATCACTTACATATACCATTATAGGAAAGAAGATGGCTCAGTCAATGTCCTGTCCTGTTTAATCACACATATACAAGTCCATGTTAAATAGAGATGATTTCGTTTTTGGATATTCCACTACTGCTGAGTGGATAATCACCAACGCCTTTTCATCCTTGAATAGGGTATCACTATACTAACAATCATCTCTTTTACCTTCCTACTCACGCCTTCTCCATCCTCATCCATATCACATACCCATCCTTATCCCCCATCTCTCGTCGTCCCATATCCTTTCTCACTCCTCCTCATCCCTTCACCAAATAACACTAAGCCCCTCCCCAAACTGCGTCAAAAAGGCTTCCTAAGTCTCCACACCCACTACTGCTCTCCTGACCCACTCTGCAAACGCACCCAAATGCCCCACGGCATCCATGACGCGTCCTAGCTTCTTAAGCCTCGCATCAAAAGCTTCTGCCTCTGCCATCTGTGTATCCATGTCAACGTCTCCGTTCTGATTCTGATGGAACGACGACGCCGAGACAGGGGCTTTGTACAGGTTCTGGTCTACGACGACGAGGTCGCCGTTGGCGTGAAGGTCGAGGGTTACGGTGAGGGGGTCGCGGTAGGTGGTTGTGTCATCGGGGGAGGAGAGGAGGTTGGAAAGGAGGTGGGATACGGCGTCTGTGGTTGATTTGGGATTGGAAGTAGGTGTGGAGGGGTGGGGGACGTGAATGGTGATGCGCGGGGTTGGAGGCGCGTAGCTGAGTGTTATGTCGACTGGAAGCGGGGGCTCATCGTCATTGTCAGACGGGCGTTTGGGGGTAACGGGCGGTGTGAGGTTTTGGCCTAGTTTGTGCGTTGGTGTGGGTTTTGCTGGGGGTTCGTAGAAGCTGTCGCGGAGGAGGGTTGTGGCGTGTGCATATTGTCGTAGTATGGGCAGGATTTCTACAAGCTGTTTTGGGTGGCTGAAGGGTAGGCTTTCTAGAGTGCGGCTGTATTCTAGCTTGGGCACGTAGAGGCTTGTCTTGTGCCACTTTTCGGCGTACTTGCCTGCCGAGTCGACGACTCCTACAAGCCGTGAGCTCGTTATGACATGTGTGCTCTCGCCCGTTGTGCTAGACATGCCCGGGTCTACTGTCCCAGGCCGCAGCGCCAGACCCACAAACGTTGTCGGCCGGAACTCGTCAGTACGTGGCTCAATGCCGACGAGCTGGTGGAGTTGCATGTATATGGCGAGGGGAACGACGAGCGGCGGGTTGAATTTGGCGACGAAGCGTATATTTGGTAGCCTTCCTGCCGCAGAGTCGAGATTCATGGCATCGTCTGATTGTTCGGGGGCTTCGAGGTATGTTGGCTTCGGATCAAGCCAGTTTATAGACGACGTGTTAAGGAGCATGCTGTCCAAGGTAGTGGCGTCGTTGTGGTCCGTCGCTTTTTCGATTTGGTCGCTAATCCAGTCGTTGGAGATGCGAATGGGTGTGTAGAGGGTCGAGGGCGATGATTCGCATTCAATCGTGAGCGAGTATAAGTGATTATCACTTCCGACGACATCTTCTGGATACGAGCTCGACGCTTTCGAGTCAGTACCCATCTTCTCCTTGCCCTTGTCCGATAATTCTTGCGTCGATTTGGAAATGACCTTGCGCCTGTCCATCCAATATTCCAAACTTAGTCCCAGACAAGAACCACCATTGAGCCGCGGCCGTCCACTCTTCTTGCACAAGACCTCCCTCTCCGCCTTGTATGTTCTAAAGCGCTCGTCGGGCGCGCGGTTGGCAAGCTCCACACTCTTTTCATGCTCGAAGAGCTTCCTGAGACTTGTGTAGACACCAGCAATGGCATTATAGCAACTAACCCCTCCATTCTGCGGTGAACCCAACTTATCAAGCGTCAGAAGTTTCTCCAGGCTTTCGGAAAAGCGCTCGAGGGTAATGTTGAGCTTGCTCTGTCCCGGAAGAGGCCTTAGGCTTCGTACCAGGATCTCCGAGCCCGATGCGCCAAAGTTGAGATCTGGCCTTGAGTCGTCCAAGCCCGTCTGTAGGTTTACGCTTGCAATCTCGTCGTCCTTGAACGTGATGTCGCACAAGGCCTCATCTCCAATCAACAGACTCCAGGTGCCTGCCTCGTCCATGTGCTTTTCGTACGGTATGCCTAGTCGCTTGCAGAGCGCAAGCAGGCCCTCTTCACTGACCCGACCCGGCTTCTTTCCGATTATATCAATAATCTCTCTTAGTCGGCGCGTCCTCTCTGCCTCGTCTGCGCGACCCATGGCGCTTGTCGTTATGCCCAAGCTGGACATGCCCAGTCCGCTCATGCTGATGCCCATGCCAACTCCGCCCATGCCTGAGCTCGTAACGTCGTTGAGCATATTAAGCACTGCGGGCGAGTCGTACGACATCATGGGAGGAACACTGCGCGGGGCGGGTGAAAAGGCACTGTGGTTCTTTGACGGCGTCTTTTCGTCCTTGGGCACGGGTGTGGGCGTTGCCATTTTGGGGCGTCTTTTATCCGATCGGGGAGTCGCGATTATTTATGGCATTTGTAGAAGATACGGACTGAGACGCTTGAGAGCAATGTTGTACGTGACAAAGTTGGAGGCGGAGGAAAGGGCGCGGAGCTCCAGAATCCAGATGAAGCGGGCACGCCTTGGCATCCCCGACGCGTTACCCCACACATTCTTCCAAGGTTCAGAGTTGCCAGTCCAAATGCCTATATTGCGAATAGATTCGCGGGTATCATGTGATCTAAACCGTGACCAAAACGCCAATAACTATGCTCGCTCAGCCTCGCTGCTTATGTGCTTAATCCACCTCAACCACCTCATCGTCGGCCATTTCGGCCCCCTTGGTCTTTGCTCTTGCAACCGTGGACCTTGTCTTTTTCTGCTTTGCAACTCGAGACATGTCCAGGGCGTTCTGTCCCAGTTCCTGGTATTCAATGGCGCGTACGCGCTTCTTTGGCCGCTGCCCTTCCTGCTCTGTCCTGGTCTTGGCCTCGGTTTCCCATCGCTTGCGAATCTCGTCTTCTGCCTTGTTTTCCATGCTGTGGAATGAAGCGTGGTGACCGCAGCCGTCGCATTCATAAGAGGACGCTACCTGCAGACATTAGCAACGCATGACGACAAACTCACAGACGTCCGTACCTTGAGTGGATGTAGCATGAAGCGTAGACATGGACATGTTGACGAGAGGAGAGACGCCTTGTGGTTGCATTGGCCGCGCGGGGGAACATAATTCATTTGCGTCCAAACATTGGGGGTATTGGCCATTGTGGTGAGGCGATGCAGAGGTTAAGCATATAGTGACGCAGGCCTGGCAAGAGTTCGGACGTGTATTGGCCAACAACGCCAAAATGTCTCGCAATCACGTGCATGAACAAACGAGAAATCGCCACTCCGCGACTGCATTTTGCTTGGACGGGTTGGCGCATTGACCAAAACTCGGATTTTACTATGAAATTAATCTATTACTCTATACGATACGTCGTATGCTAATCGGGGCTGCATGCGAAAAACTACCATTTTGGACCTGGACCTCGGCTTCTAGTGCGACCTTGGTCCAATATGACTACCAACAACACATAAAGCGCCAGCTGATTGCCTGAAACGTCCGGGCCAAGGGGTTTAGATTGGGCCAGTAACTCATCCTCCGGCCACATGTCGGTCGCAAGTAGCCGCAGAACTGGACGACGAGCGAGGGGTCAGAGGCTGACGCTAACTTGCTAAGTGACCGGTGCAGTGGGGAACTTGCGATAGGGCGCTTGTACAGTCGATCGATCCGGCGGGGTAGATGATGGATATAAAGTCGCACGTCGTGTAGCAGTAGAGTCTCCTTGTCAACATCTTGTCAACCTGCAATAACTACTCTTTTCCCTCTCCCCTCTTTTCCCAATACCAGCCAACATGGCTCCCGGAGGATGCATATGCGGCAACGTCCGCTATGAGGTAGAAGGCGAGCCCGAAGCCAAGGTATGTCGTGTGTCTTGCTGATATCGGCGATTCTAACAGGGTATAGATTATCTGCCATTGCCTCGACTGCCGCAAGATTAGCGGAAGCACCTACTCTTGCAACGGCCTGTATCCGGGAGGAACGCTCAAGGTCACCAAAGGCACCCCAAAAGAGTACAAGACCAAGGGTGGTAGTGGCAATGAAATTGTTTCCGGCTTCTGGTATGTATCAACCGCCCTCCTTGTCCTGAAAACTTCTGACGTGTGTACAGCGGCGACTGTGGTTCAACCTTGTTCCGTTACGGCACCAGCTTTGGCGACAAGCGCATCATAAAGGTATGTCCCATGTCCCCATATCTGACTGTGAAAGCTCTGTTGACCCTCTGCAGATCGGAACTCTGGATGACCCCAGCATCCTCAACAACTTCAAGGCCAACGCCGAGTTGTTCACAAAGGACAGGGTCGAGTGGGTTGGCGCATGCGAGGGAGCTGCGCAGAAGCAGGGCATGACGTAGACAGATTTGCGAACGAGCGGAGGATCTGCGGTCGAGTGGGCGAGATGGGAAACTTGTATCTACTCGGAATCTGAACTTTCCGGCTCCTTGAGACGCTCCTTCATCATCTGTTCAAATCAGTGCCCCGTGCGTGTCATCTGTCATGTATCGCCCACCTGGTTCAGACGCGCCTTGAGCTCGTTGATTCTTGTTTCTTTGACCAGAATATGTTCCTCGTCCAGCTCCTCGATGATGTACTCGTTGCCACTCTTGCTGTCAATATCGACCAACATGGCTTTGATGGACGCGTCGCACTTGACGAGGATGCCTGAAGTGGTCAATATATCAGCCCGTATTATCATACGTCCATAATTACCTCGTGTAGCTTTGACCATGGTGAAAGGTAGTAAAAGAGATTGCGGGGTGTTGGTTGATAAGTTCAAGCAGAGTGGACAACAGGGTACGAGCGCGAGCGTGTCGGCAACATCCATCCACATCTGAGGCGATCGCCTCTCCGCCCTTGGCCCTGGTCCTTGTCGTGCCCCGGAAGTTAGCCCGCCAAGGATCCGAACGGTCGCCAATCCTCATCACTTTATGCGACGCATCTTCTGCCTCGTCACATAGGCTCAATCTGGCAAGAAGGAGAGCATGCTTACAGATACATCTTCGTCGTGCCGTAGAAACATATCTAAAAGATTTCATGGCGCAAGCCTCGCGCCTTCGCCCAGCGCGAAACGGCAACCTCCTTCTACTGCTGACGCCTGCCCGAAACACAACTCATGTAGACCTTGCAATGAATGTATGCCATGGCCGGGAACGTATATAGGAAATTGCCCTGGTCATCTTGGCTTCTGAGTTATATGCCCTACCGCCTCGCCTTGCCTCCACGTACGACACCTGATCCGCACTCCTTCCTCATGGCGCCGACTTCGATACCTACCACCCGGCATGCTCACATGGCCTTCGCCGCCGGCATACCTACACATGCACACATCTCTGTTCGCCAGGCCTTTGGACTTATCGCTGAACGGGTAGACGACGAGTCCGACAGCGACAGCGAAGACGAGGAGAACTTTTCGGCAAAGGACTTTGAGCTCGACCCCGTTCACTACTACTTCATGCTCCTTCTTATGATATTCGTCGTCGCTATACTATTGTTTTGGTTCATATACTGGCGCAGGACGCGGTCGAGGAAAGCTGGGCGTCCAGCGACTGGGGAGCAAGCTCGAGAGATGAATGTGCAAGGCTGGACCAACACATTGCACGCCAGATTTATGCCCAACAACACTACTCTTGTTCGTCGAAGTTCGAATCCGACTCGGTACGACGAACCACCGCCTCCATACCAAGCCAAGGCGGACGACACCCCCCCCTATCCTGCGGTCCCACTCCGAGCCCTTTCATGGGATGAAAACAACCATCGTTCAATGCCACCACAGTATACAACTGAATACTATGGACCAAGGCCGGCAACTGCATGAGGGTACAAGGCTGAGGGGGATGATGGAATAATTAATAAAGGCACTACGGAATAATAATCATAGACTTGGGCAGTGCTTATGAATGTCACGATAGCACGGCTGGCTTGGGCTTGGAGTTGAAGGCGTTTGGGCTGCTACTAGCACCGTCGGAGCATTTGCAATGAACTTGTCAGCTACCAGAACAAAGCTATACGACTAGTGACTCCTTACTACTTGCTGCAGCCACCATCGTATCGTGACTATATTCCACAGTCAGTCATCACAAAGCAACAGTGCCAAGGCGCCCTATTTGCGCCAACAATCTAGCGTCGAAGCAGGTTATTCAGCGGCACGTCAGCTTACGTCGCCGTCGCTTCCTTTTGATTTGCATGCATCGTGCCTTGCCTCTTCAGGCCAGCGGGGCAGCAACGGCATGACGACATGCCGACGGCTTCGCGAGCTGCGAGCGCGTGGCAGCAGCAACAACACCTTGATGTTGGTTTAGTAATACTCCGTCCAGCAAACCTCGAAACTCGGAACCGAATTTGTCGTACAGCATTGCTATTCCAACAATCCGCATCATGCACGCAATCCGCATAATCATCCTAATCGTGACTCCTTCCACATCTCGAACGCGCAACCAAACGGCTGTGCAAAACCTAAAAAAGAATAGTCTTCTAGAAAAAAACAAATACCTACGCTTATTCAGAAACCAGCGTACCTGACTATAGCCGTAGAAGCATACGAATACAGCCCGCAGAATCATCATACCCCAACCTTGTGGCTTGCAGCATCGGTGGCTTGCATGCGCATGGCCATCTCGACCGAGCAGGCTCGGTAGCTGGTAGCTCAGACCCGAATAGAGGCACCCCTGGCGTATGCAAGCCAATCACTCACCCATGGACTGCGCTTACTAGCGGGCAACCTCGTTCACGATAACCGCCACTTAGGGCATGTTGGTAACGGATTAGGAGTGTGTAACAAAGCACACACCACACACCACACACCACACACGCACTACCATCATCATCATCATCTCTTGGCATACTTTTCGATCGACATGGTCCGAGTTTGCCGGTCCTGGGGTATCCAAGCCTTTCTTGCAATCTACCAATTTAACTAGCCAGCACAACGTTCGGTGACTGTGGCATTATTAATCGTAAAAAGAGAAAATCCCATATCATTTTCCATGCTTGTTTTGCTTTGTTACCAAAAGCGTGGCCTGGTGATCTACAGGCGGGTGCTTCCCGCATCTAGGTTCAGGTCGTGTAAGGGATGTGTAATCAGTCTCCTACTGCGAGATGATGCTCGGAACAAGCAGTTTTAACGACAAGGTAGGTGGTGTTGTCACGATGGATGAAGTCATCAATGTGACATTTGCACGATGGGCGTTGATGGAATGCCGCGGAAGCAGTATATTCGGCCGGTGTTGGAATGCGTGGAGGTATGTGTGCTTGTATAAGACTCAGTAGTATGAGAGTCAGAGGTATTCCAGTCAATGAGTAAGTGAGTCAGTCAGCAACAGCAGTGATATAAAACCGCCTTTTCCAACATCACCATCATCATCACCATCATCAACCAAGCAAGCAAGCAACGCCAGCCATCATTTCAATAAACATGTCAACATCCGCCGGCGGTTCACTCGTCATCAGTAAGTCCACCCCTCGCACCATCCACCCTCAAACCCCATAACTAACAACACACACAGTCACCTGCAAAGAACCTAAACCCGAACTCGACCTATCCCCCCTCTTCAACCTCAACCCAGACAACACGTCCGTCATCCCGACCCCCGGCGGTCGCACTGAAGGCACTGTCGGTAGTATATATCAGGCTGACCAGACGAAACGTATTGCTATGATTGCTGTTATTCAGCATGCCGGTGGGTTGTCTTTCCCATCTCCTACCTATCCCGTTTCTACTCCCTTCCTTCCGTCCACTGCCAAGAAGATCATGAGCGCAGTGGATGGGAATTGAGCTAACAATAACAACAAGATTGCCAATACACAGCCAGCCTCAGCAGCACAGTCCAAGAAAACATCCGCGCAGACCAGCATGTAAGAAAAGAGATTGTGATCTTAGGATATGTGCTCGATACGCAGACGAGGACGTTGAGTGAGGTAAAGTATGTAGATTCTTTCTCTTCCTTACCTGTTCATACGCATCCATATGTTATTTTTCAGAATCCAGTGTATCCGCTGCTGTGGCATTCGGTAGGGTCGCCATGGAGAAGATAGAGAATGGGGTAGGATGGAATAAGTGGGGCAGACCTGTTGTGGGGAGATATGCTGATTTTGTTATGTTGCAGTGTCCCTCTTCCCCCGCCGGATGCCGAAGCAAGGCAGCGTGTTTTGAATCAGATGGGGGATTTTGGGCCGTTTTGGTGTTAAATGCGTTGAACCCAAATCGATGTTGTTTTGCTCATGGGTCGAAAGTCGGTCGTCGAGGATAATTGGAGCTGGAGCTGGGCGTGAGGATACACTTTAACAATGCAATGCCGTTTCTGATTCTTTTTATTTCTCATGCCGATGTGTCGATCTCAGGCTGGACATCCATCAAAAAAAATCTAGTGCAGTTATTTCGGCATGTTCTGCTCCATCCAAAAGTGCATTCGAAAACTCCATGTCCCGCAGATCAGATCCATCCACGCTTTGCCTAAACTGGACACACGGTCCTATATAAACCCCTGTTACCTCGCACCCTCTCCTCTTTCTCATCCATCTCCACATTCTCAAAAGCTTTATCAAAAATACAGAAAATCTCACTCGACGTGCTGCGTTTTTCTCTGCACCCTAAAATTACAAACAGTCCCGATCATATTCTCTGCTCCTCTGAAAAGTCAAAACATCTCGGGCCGTCACTAAAGTGTGACATGTTATTTCTACTATTCTAAAATGATTGCCTGTAGAAGACCTATGATCGTTCTCTTCTCGGACTTCTAAAAGTAAAAATATGGGCTCGGATGACGGGCCCTACTGCTTTTCCCTGTTTGAGCACCTAGAAATCAAACCAAGAACCACTGTGCGTGTGGCGCGTTGGGCCTGCTGTTCTAAATTACATACAACAATTGGAAATGTGTTTCTCTCTTCTCGCGGGTTTAAAATACAACAAGATCCGGATGATGGGTGCTGTTGCTTTTCTGCTCTTTCTTAAACAAAACATTTCCAGGAGGTGGAGATATGTGTCGCGCGCTTTCCGCTGTTCTAAAAACTAGCCCGTTATTGCCCATGATTTTCTCTGTTCGGTGTCCAAAAAAGAATTGAATCTTGTATCATGACGGGTTCTGTCGCCTTTCTGTTTACCTAAAAAAAAGCTTATGGTCGGACGTGTATGTCCGGCTGAGACTGTCGGGGCGGCTAGTGAATATAAAATGCTGCCACCCTGCACCTTTCTTCTTCTTCATTCCTCTTCTATACCACTCCTTGTTTCAATCAAAATAAAGAGTGACACCAGCTGTGTGCGTCGCTTCTTCTTCTAAAATAGAAATTGATACGGGTACATGGAGTTGTTTTCCTGTTCTTCATTTTGAACCTGAAAATTCACCCGGCTTTGGCGTTTAGCACTTTCTAGCTCGTAGGTCGGAATTAAAACGGGGGATGAAAGATTTTATGTGTGCTTTGTCTCCCCCGCTCTTAAAATCGAAAATTTTCCGGATTCTATCGTAAAAAACTTTGGGTGGACAAGATGTCGGTGTCGCCATCCGCCGCTCTATAAATACTCGGGGCATCATTCGATAACTTTGGCGATGTCGAGAGAGCCTTCTTCTTCTACGATGCTGGAGCTACTCGCACATATTTCTACTAAAATTATTCCGAATTTTGCTCAAATCAAATGACGTGCGAGTGATGTTGCGCGCCACCAGTCGCCCTTTGTAAACGAAAATCCCTGGACCGACTTCGGATAGTCCCCGTGTGTCCAACGCGGGTGTATAAAAGTCTTTCTTCTCACGCTCGTATCTATTCTTCTACACACATTTGGAATTTCTAACAAAAATTACGAACAACACCCACGGATGTGTCTGCTGTCTCCTTCTTTCTGAAGAACAAATTCCAACCAACAAAAGATTTCCTCCCATTTGAAAATTGTTTCCTGAAATATCCCGCCGCTGGTTTGTGCTATGTATCTCATCTGTTGACACGGCAAAGGTGTCGAATACTAGCAGTCGTTGCAACGAACAAAGTGTATAGTATTTGATTAGTAGTGAGCAAGAGCTGGATGGAGAGATCTCCATATGTACGGTTGCGAGCTAAGCGGGAAGCTTGGTCTAACTAGTGGTCCAAGCTTCCGGCCCGGAAAAACTCGCCGGGCTGGCTGTACGCGCATGTTCCGACACTGGCTTTTCTTCTTTTTGTGACGGCGTACAGTCAGCTCCCAAGTACCCCGAATCTGCTACAATATCCTGCTCCTAGAAAAGTATCTAGTTTCCTATTCCGGCTAACGCAAATACATGCAACCCATTCATCCCTTGTGTGTGTGTGCATGTGTGTCCGTCTCAGTTCTCACCACAATCAATCGTGGGCTCGGTGCCATCGCTCGTAGGCTCGGTGCCTGTCTTGTTTGTAGGCTCGGTGCCTGTCTTGTCTGTAGGCTCGGTGCCTGTCTTGTTCGTAGGCTTGGTGCCTGGCTTGTTCGTAGGCTCGATGCCTGTGGTGTCGCGATTCACCCATCCCTGTACACGAAGTTCGAGCTCGTTGGTGTCAATGAGATGCTCTAAAGCAGAGTTGCTCGCTGCCTTTGTCATCGCATCTGCTGGGTTGTCTCTGCCGTCAATCCAGCGGATATCCATGAGATCGTTGCGCTCGTATGCCTCGCGCAATGCCATGATGTCTATCATGAGACGTTTCTCCTTAGTAGTGCCGAGTTTGACGAGACAGTCGTACAAGGATCGTGAATCCGTGCATGCGACAATAGAGACCTTAGGGAAAGACAGTCGGTCCATAATCATGTCAATCGTGGTGCCGATGGCCAGTGCAATGTCAACGCCATGTGCCATTGCATAGATCTCCGATGCTAGAACGCTCCTTGTGACGCGTTTGCATTTAGTGGAGGACCAGTGAATAATGTTGCCACGTATCTTAAAGCTGCCGTCTGAAGATGCAGTCTCGTTACCAAGAATAATAACGTATCCCATTTGAGAGCTCATGTCCTTGTTGTTGGCAAACGAGGCGTCCACCATCGTGTATAGCTTGAGATCTTTCATCTCAATAGGCACGTAGCTAAGTCCGCGAGAGACGTTTTTCTTCTGCCAGTTAATGCGCTTATTCAATCTGGATATTTCTTCTTTTGTCGGTTCAGTCGCTTGCGCTGCAGCGGCGAGATCAAAGCTTGCCTCTGGTTGACAGATAGTCGCGATATATGCTCCTCGTGCTCGTTGTTGTATGTAGGACTTTGCATCAACAGCGTTCTCAAGTTTCTCACCTTGCTTCTTCTGCCGTAAAGTAATGACGTTGCCACTGCCAAGATGTACCATACAGCCATTAAACTCGATAGGGTCAGTGTCTGTGAGGTACTTTTTGTCCTTAGCTTTGAAACGGAGCTCCTTGTCCTCTCTATCAGCGAATGCGTTGTCTGAGAGACCAAGAGTGTCGTCGGTTTGCATGCCAACAATGCCGAAACCTGTGGTTGTTCCAGCGTCGGTGGCCTTGGAGATGAGGAGGCATGGGTCGTACGTAGACGTCTCCATGTTGAGTGTCGTCGTGTGGTGTTTGAAGTATGTTGACCACCAGTAGGCACCTGCTTCGGCGATGCCATACAGTGGTTTCACCACGACCATGATGGTTCCTTGTGGGTACACTTTGCGGAGTTGTACAGGCAGGTCTGCAATGATAGTGCGCTGGAGGCGGTCGTCGGACTGCGTGTACGCCTGCGTGATGTCTCGGAGCCATAACTTCATGCCCATTTGGATCAATACCGGTGCAAGAGCAATAATGATCCTCTGGCTTGCGCGTTGTATCGTGGGGCTCTGGGTGAGTACAATCTTCTTGCCATCATCGGCGTAGCCTTGTACAACTAGTCTAGATTTCTCGTACGGCTTATCGGTGGTCTTGCCTTTCACTTCATTGACAATGCGGGACTTGAAGATCCGGATCCCGCCATGCTTGGCTAGATTGAATGGCTCAAAGCGGAAGACGCCGCGGGTAATGAGAGCGTCAATCTCTGTCTTGGTTGACAGCTCAAAAGGTTCTCCAGGTGTCGTGATCTTACCGGTAGTGCGCAGTGTCCTGGCTAGCACTATGTCGTCTTTCTCGCGCTGTGCGAGGTTAGCAGCGTGTGTCTTCGGCTTGTTCTTGGAGCCTTTGGGACGGCCGCGTCCTCGGCGTTGCGGTGGCTCTTCTGGGGGAACAAAGTCGTCATTGTCGCGCTGATGCTCGCTATGCTGTTCCTCATCGCCGTGCTGTTCCTCGTCAGGTCGCGGGAGATTTGTAGTGTCGTCTTGATGATACGGCTGGACAGAGGTGATGCGGAAACTTGCTTGTTTCCCATGAGCGTCGACGATAGCAGCAGTCTGATCGTCGTTCAGGGCGAGGAGAGTGTGCGGGCCAGTCCATCCGAGGCCTTCACGCCACACCTTGACGTTGCTCTGCAGCGGTAGTTCTAGTACTTGCGTGACGATGTTGTTTGGCCCGTTACGGGTACCTAAAGCTTCATTGACTTGTCGCTTTGCCTTAATCTTCCGGACTTCTGCCATCGCTTTGCGTATTGCCGTTGCGCGCGCGGTGATTGAGGGAGATGGCGGTGATGTCTTGGAGAGACGTGGATAGGTGCCGAATACCAGCAGCGTTGGTACAAGTCCTTCAGGTCCGGCGGTGTCGTTGACAGCCTTGACAGCCATCTGGAGGATGTCATCCTTCGTCGTCGTAGATGCACCGATGTCGGCGGAGATGACTTCGAACGCTCGTCGGATGGCAGCATGGTAGCGTTCAATTTTGCCAATCGAGTGATGGGCCTCAACTGGTACTTCGTGGACTTATGTCAATCCACATAGCGCGCAGCGTGTCCCATGTTGTGCTTGCTTTTATGTCTATAAGAAAGCGGGCGGCTTGAAAAGCAGTTGCTTCGTCAACGGCGTGGAGGACTGGTTTACTGTCAATGTACATAATGTCGACGATGACGCGGGAGTTGAAGTCGAGGTTGTCATCGCGTAGAGTAAAGCGGAATCGGCCTGGTGCTTTAGCAGTTATCTGGCACTGATGACAGAACTTGTTAATCTCATCAATTAGCGTCTTGTCAATGTCGTCGTGGCCTGCCTTTACTAGGACTTTGTAGAGGCGTGCGGCGGCTGGATGCCCAAAACGTCGGTGGAGTTGCTGGAGTTCTCCTTCGGTGAGATAGTGGGTGGCAGTCTCCTGCTTGTTGAGAAGAAGCCATGGATGCCCCCACTTGCGGACAATTGGGTACTCCTTGGACTGATGAACTAGCGTATTGTCGACGTTGTTGAAGTAGATGCCATGGCGGTCCATGTCATCAAGACAGAGTAAGAACGGTGTGTTAGTAGGCATTACAGCGAACCTAATCACTCCAACGGGTGTCTGGACGTTGACGTCGCCGATAGAAACACACTCCGGGTTATCCCCAAATCGGATCCGGTGTCGGCCAGCAGTTGACTTGTCAATCCATAACGGTTGGATGCGGTGTAACGCTGTAACCTGTTGCTTGCCTGCTGTAGACACTCCGGCCGCGCCGGTGTCTGGCATGATGCCTTGGAACTGCTCGCGCCCGTACCGGTGATCGAGTGTGAAGAGGTGGCTTGCCTCTTTGGCAATGTCGTTGCCGGCGTATGGGTCGATCTTCGTGATCGCGTGTAGAGCGGCGGCGTTGTTGAGGTTGCGTACCATTGTTCCTCCATCAACTGCACCGCAGGTAGCAGTGAGAAACTGGTGCTTTGTATCAAACTGGTCGTTGTTGAAGAACGCGTCGAGTTCTTCGTCCGTGCCGCCGTTATCGTCGTCGTCATTAAGGTCAATGCCCTCAAACTGGGCAAGGAAAGCTTCGTAGTCTATATCGACGTTGCGGGTCTGCACGTACGTCCGGAAACGTTGTTGCGCTTCCTTTCGCTCTTCTCTAGAGTGACGAGTTGACCAGCAGCCTGGCTTGCTACAGACGTAGCACTTCCTGTTATTGCGGCGCTGTGTATCATCGTTGTACTGCGATCGGGGTAAGCTGCGTTGGAAGCGGGATCCTCCGCGGTTGTAGTTGCGGGATCCTTCGCCTTGGCCTTGTGCGCTATAGTTGCGCGGTTTGTCGCGTTGTCCGCTATCGTTGCGGTTGTATCGGCGGTTTGTGTAGAACGCGTCTTCGCTCGGATCGGACTCCTCGCAGTTGAACTGTGAGCGCGGATGGCAGCGCGTCCAGTTGCCGACAGCGTTGCGGAGTTCTGAGGCAACGGCTTCAAAGGTTGAAGCTGGGCGGATAAGGACTGCGCTACATGCTTCGACGCCTTGACAGGCAGCAATAAGTTGGCTTGTAAGAGCGAGCTCGCTTGGTCCATTCTGTTGAGTCATTGCCTGGTGCAGCAGCTGGAGCTTGTCGATGACTATGTCGAGACACTGGGTGAGTGTCTTGTCGGGGTTGTTGGCGATGACGTCTTTCAGCATAATGGTGCGCCACTCACTTAAGAACATTTGGTAGTTCTCGCTCGTGTGAAAGTACTCCCCTAGTTTCTTGATAATGCTGTCGTAGTCTAGGTTGAGTGGAGCAATGTAGTTGTAGTAGTATGCTGAGGCCTTGCCTCTAAGCATAGTAGAGACTGCAAGTTTGTACTGTGCTGGTGTCGTAATGCCAACCTTTTCGCAATGGTCTTTAAAGATGACTATCTTGTTGTCGAGGACGTCATACTTGTCGCCACTGAACTTCTCCTCCTCACTGTATACCTTTGCGAGGTTGGTGAGGGCTGTTACGTTTGCCTGAGCAGGAGATGGCGCATAGTTTATACTGGCGCTTTGAGTTGGCGGGTTGCTGCTTTGTTGAGTTGTTCTAGCGTGTTGTGCCTCTTCTGCTATCTGTCGGCATTTGAAGTCTGGGTTGAGTCGCATAACGTTGAGCTCGTCAATGGGCCAGTCGGGAGAGCGTGTAAGGCTAAGGAGATTGACTAGCTGTTGTGCGATGGTGTTGCGGCTGTTCTTCTCGATGTAGACACCTCGGTCGCGGAGTATGTTCTTGACTGCTGTACGGACTCGCATGTCCATTGCATTGAAATGATTGAGAGACCATCCTGCAAATGTCTCTTGGAAGTCTTGAATAAGCATGATGTCAAAGTCTCCGTTCTCTTCGGCCTGTATCATCCAGTCGATAGCAATAGTGCTTATCTGACCAGGGATAATAGCATCGGTTGCAATGTCGAGTTGGGTATTGGTGTACTCGTCCGCGTACACCTTTGGGTACCATTGCCGGGTAGTAATGCTTGTAGGCATGATTCCGGTGGGTTGCTTGTGAGTCGCGGGGTTGCCTGTGGGTCGCTTGTAGATTGCCCGTAGGTCGCTCGTCGCGGGGTTGACTGTGGCGGGGTTGCTCGCCGGTGATTTTGTCGGGTTTTGGTGCGTAGTTGACGCAGATCCCTAGTTCTGGATCTCTTTCAGACTCCGTCAGCCGAAACGAACGCTCGTGGGCGGATCTGTTCTTCGCACTGCTTAATACGATACAAGGTCGTACTAAGAGTCGCTTCTTTACCTAGGCTACACAGACGCAATGCTGATGGGCCCTCTGTACACAGATGTCTTGCCGATCTGTGGTCATATCAACCACTGATCAGTGTTGACACGGCAAAGGTGTCGAATACTAGCAGTCGTTGCAACGAACAAAGTGTATAGTATTTGATTAGTAGTGAGCAAGAGCTGGATGGAGAGATCTCCATATGTACGGTTGCGAGCTAAGCGGGAAGCTTGGTCTAACTAGTGGTCCAAGCTTCCGGCCCGGAAAAACTCGCCGGGCTGGCTGTACGCGCATGTTCCGACATCATCAAAAAGCCACTACTATTTTGCGCCTTTTAAAACAAGATCAAGAAATAATATGTGTTGCGTCCTGCCTCTTTCTCCAAAAGAGATAGGTATAAGATCACACGAGTGCTTCTACTTCTCAAATAGGTCTATAGATGCTTCCCTACTTACTCCAACTTGTCGGATCACAGATATCAACGATATCTCAGCCACGTGATCGGCCGCACTGATCTCGGTCACGCGAGCAGGCGCACTGGCATCAGTCACGCGGACAGGCGCACTGATCGCGGCGTCCGAGCAGCGCTCAGACCAGACCTCCTATATCTAGCTCTTCCATAGTTCTCCTTCGCAAGACAATCAATCAGAACCATCACCGAACAGAATGCATTCCTAGTTAATCGTTATTTCCTTTCAGCACTAGTGCTACAGCCCTACCAACAGGGGCTAAGTTAAGTTTTGTACGTAGTTGTTTTGGTCTAGACTGAGCTCCAGGCGTCATGTGGGTCCTCCGAGCAGGCCAGACCAGTGAACACCATGTGGGAACTCTGTATGCGAATGGGTCAGACCAGGTGTTTGCTTGCTATTGCGGCTCGCAAATCCCCGCATAATCCTGCGGGGATGGGTACCTAGATCCGGACATCTGCCGATGATCCCGCTTGCTCACTAGTCGTCGGGCCATGTAGCCACGTAATACCCAGGTACTCAGTGGGATGTGATCCTACACCATTGGAACCTATTTGGCTTACACGTGGGTAGGCACCTGCAAAAAGGTAGGATGATGATATGCCAAGCGCCTTGGTCACCACTTTGCCACCAGTCAGTCGCTTGTGCCGCCATTATAGGCTAGGGGTTTTCTTCAATCGCAAATTTGCTGCGTCGATGTAATTATTTGAAGACTTCCAGATGCGGTAGTTTTAGGAGAGGTGCCTCGCTATAATATCAACTGTACTATAGTATTAGTGTTAGTACCGTATTTCAAGCTGCCATTATATGGTGAACACTCTACCAAGATAACAGAGCAAAGCAGCTCATAGGACTAGTAATTTTCTCCCTTATTTTTGGACTCGCAGCCATAGTCGAAGGCTATAAACACAGTGCCTACGACTAAAAACCTGCCCTTTACCTACCACGATATTATCCACGTCTCGTCATAGCGTGCAACTACCTACACTCTCAAGCTTTACACTCCACGATGCTTATTGCTGCTCGCGATTATTTTTATTCCCCATCCTTTTATCATGATGCATAATTTTCAAGCATCAGAGTCGTTGATCTTGAACAATCCATGTAATTTTCATTGCATGGGCGAATTTGCTTCCACCTAGCAGACTCCGCAACAAACAAACATGAATCAAACATAGGTAGCTTTTTTTACCAAACAAACAAGCATAAAGATTGTTACATTTGCAAATATTTGCAAGTATTTGGTGTTTTGTTAGGCTAAGTTTTTGCAGTTTGTTAGGTTGTGAGCGCGTCGATTTTGGTGTTTTGGTGTTCTAAATGAGCCATCTGAACTTGCCCTTACACTAACCGTGCGTGTGACGAGCCACTTCGCGTGACGAGCCACCCCAACAAGATCAGACGACAAAAAAGATGAGGTTATTGAGCCACCCACAAAAGCTATTATCGTGAGACTTTTTGGTATATTAATATATAGACGCTACTAAAGCGTTTGCACTACTTGTATCTCGCTGGCGTCTTGATTTGGCGGTTGCGCAGGCTAAATTTGGGTGGAGGAGACGCCTCGGGCGGACCAGCAACCACACCACTTGATGGAGCAACAACACGACGACGCTTTGTCGGTTTTTTTGCTGGCTTGTGTGAGGCTTCTCGCTTACGCTTATTTGCTGTATCGCGACTTTTTTGAGCGGTTGCAGCTTGTTGCAGCTTTTTAAGTGCCCGTTTGGCAGCTTTCTCCTCACGCTGCCGTAACTGCTCCGCATCCTTAGCAATTTTGGCTTGTTGTCGAGCCACCTTTGCAGCTTCTTGAGAGCGCTTTTTCTCAGCTGCTTCTGCCGCTTTAATCTCTCTATCGCGAGCTTTTTGGAGTTGTAGCTCCGCGGCTTCGTCCAGTTCTGCGGCCTTGCGCGCGCGCTCGCTGGCAAGCTTCCTGGGACTGTAGAATACAGCTCCGCCGTGCCACTCGTCGCCTTCTCGTGTAGTCAGTGTTGTAGAATTGATCGGGCGCTTTCGAATGAGGTTGAGTTCAGCGCGTAGCTCCGCGTTTTAGAGGCGGAGAAGCTCGTTGTTGACCTACAGCGAGTGCAGGCCTTGGGATAGCCGTTTGGCTTCAAATTTGGCCTTGTCAGCCACCGCAGCGTCAAAAATTTTGCGCAGCTAAGGCCAGGTATCGCCGTCGCCTTGCTCCCCAATTCCTGGGTCGTCATCTTGTTGTTGTGGGTTGTTGTTAAAGCGTTGAAGTACCCGGCTTGCGTCCATCGGCCATATGCCTGTAGCTTGAAAACTCTTCAATATGAGATCGTGAGTCATTGTAGAGCTCCACGCAGGCCAAAAGTGACGATAGAAGTCCTGTTTGGTGATCCTTGAGAGACCTTGGGTTCGCTGGAGGTGTTGAGTAAGCTCCTTAGTGTAGTGCTTCGAAAGCGGCCCAAAGAGAACCACATCCAACGGCTGTAAGCTGTGGGTTGAATAGGGAGGATAAACCATAACCATGATACGTTTGGCTTCACAAAACTCCAAAAATTTAGGCGTAAGGTGGCTGGCGTGCCCGTCAAGGATCAGAAGGCGCCATTGACGGCGAGCTTTGGCTGCTGTATGACGTTCGAACACCTGTTAAAGCCAGGCAAGACCTAACTCGTTGTTGGACCATCCCGAAGCCGAGTGGGATACAAATACTTAGTGTTGTTGGGTCTCCAAAAGGTCGTGAACCTAGCTTGATTAAACCCCAGAGGTGCCCTGGTAGATAAGAGCGGGCGGCAATGCATCTCTAGAAGCACATACGCAAGCTAACAGCGTAATCTATTCTCTGTTGCCATCCCTCATCGCCTAGGTACGCTCTCCCGCCTCCTAAACTGCCTTGGAGAAGATCCTCTTTCTGCGGTCGGCGACACCGACAAAGAAGCCCTTCTCATCCATATTGTACGTATTGCGCTCGTCAATCCCGTGTTCCTCTATCTTAGAGTGCAGCAAGTTGAAGTACAACTCGTACTTATGTTTGCTGTCAGCCAGGTGACGCTCACGATCGATACCGGTGTCCCATTTAGTGGTGAGCTCGTCGGGATGACGATGGCGAAACCGGTCAACCCAGCTATCAGAGACCTCTTGCTGCGCAACAGCGCTTCCAAAATTTTTCAAAATACCCCGTATAGGCGGTAGACCATCTCTTGTAGCCCTCTCTATGTAACCAACAACCTCATCCTCTTGTTGTAGGTTAAGTCGTTGTTGATTTGCTATTTTAGCTTCATAGGAGACCTGCAAACCCTTTGTGCCGCCGCGACAGCGTTTGTTCGATCAACTCCGAATACTTTTGCAACTTGG